CCTCAACAACTCGTTCTTACTCTCGACTCTCGTGCGTCGACGCTCCTTGTCCCCACCCCGTCGAGCCGCACTGACCTCGTAGCTCGCGCGCCGCAACAGTCCCCGACCCCGTCTCCTCCCTCGCCCTCGTCGTCCTTCTCGCAGGCGCTCGCGAGCCTGCCCTCGCTCGGCTCGTTCGCCGGCCTCGTGTCGCACATGTCGGCCCACGTCGCAGGCCTCCACCCGGCGTCGGGCGCCTACGTGTGGCTCGTCACCGACCCGAGCGGCAACCTGGGCGTCGTCGGCACCTACGCCGGCGGCACCGTCCTCGTCAAGGAGCGCCACCAGATGGGCCACGGCGCGTTCGCCGGCCGCGACCTGCGCATCCTCGGCGAGCGCGTCGAGGTCGAGGGCGGCGACGCCGCCGCACCGGCGACGGCCTCGGCGGCCGGCGAGTCGTCGGCGCCCGAGCCGTCGGCGTGGGAGGCCGTCTCGTCTCCGGCAGCGCGGTCCAACAAGGGCAACACGTCGTCGTCGTCGGCGGCGACGCTCCTGAGCGAGGGCGCGCTGTCGCCGTCGTCGATCCTGAACGCGGGCCTGTCGGCGCACCACGGCGCGCGCGTCGGCCAGAGCCTGCACCCGCTCGCGTGCATCAGCGTGCACCCGCACTGCTACCTCGGCGACTATGGCCTGTGGGGCCGCGACGAGTACGTGCGCAAGTGGTGGGCGGCCGTCGACTGGAAAAAGGTCGAGGACGCGTTCGACGCTTTCACTCGCAAGGCGCGCGTGTGAGCTGGGCTTTTGACTAGACGCGGGCATGTAACCCCTTTGCAGCATCATCCAAGTACTGAGAGTGACTTCAGCTTGCGACGAGGGAGAAAAGGAGGGTCCGTCCGGCTCGAGCGAAGGACGATGAGCGCATCGTCGGCCTCGAGACGATCAACCCGCCGCCCTCCGCCCTCCCCACTCGACAGCCGACTGCAGCCGCCGCTTCGAGCTGCCACCGAGCACGAGCACCACAGCGAGCAGCAGCAGCCCCGACCTAGCTCGCCCCGAGCCCTCTCGCCACCGCTCCCCCTTGGCCTCGCCAGCTCGACTTTTCGTCATCACCTTCGAACCTCGTCCGCGAGCGCGTTCACCCCCGGCACCCAAGCACCGCGACCATGGAGACGCCTACCTTGCTCAAGCGTGACGACTTTGGTGCGTCCTCACGCTCTCTCGTCTCTCTCTTTGGCCAGCGAGCCGCCGTCGCTGCTCGAAACGGCATGACGACCGCCGAGTTCCGGCACGTTGGGACGACAGCGGGGCGCGCTCGTGTGGGTCTCAGGAGGCTCCAGGACGCTCATCGTGCAGTGCAGGGTGCGCCTCGAGCGGCCCGAGGGGCGGGGCATGGCGGTGGGACCGTGTCCGAGGACGGGCGACGCTAGGGCGGGCGGATGAGGTGAGCAGCGACGGCGGCCGCTTGGGTGCGCTCGACCGCGCCAGCAGGAGCACACGAGCGACACAGGCACACGACCGAGCACGGCACTGACTCGATGTTGTCCCTCCCCGCGCAGGTCGGCATCGCGCCTCGTCGGATCCTCTCTCGCGCGGCGGGTCCTTCCTCGACGGCGCCGGCCTCTTGCACCAGGAGCCCAACCCGTTCGAGCAGTCGTTCGGCCCGCTCGCCGACTCGTCGTCGCTCGCGACCGGCGTCAAGCCCTCGGACGGCACGGCGTCGGCCTCGGGTCGCCGCGCGCGCTCGACCTCGCCGTCGTCATTGATGCCCCGCACCACGCCCGGCGGCAGCCAGCGCCTCCCGCCGCTGTCGCTCATGCAGACCCCCGGCGGCGAGCTGTCGGCGTTCGGCTGGGGCGTCGACTCGCTCCGCACCGGCCCCCTCTCGCCGGCGCTCCTCAACGGCCCCACCGGCACGTCCGGCTTCTTCCCTGGCGATCCTCCTAGAGGAACCACGGGCACGGGGCTGACCCCTTTCGCGGCGGGTCTCGACGGCGCAGGCGCAGCAGGCGCTCCTCCCTCGACCTCGACCACCACCGGCGGCGGCGCGACCACGACCTCGGCCGGCGTCTCGTTCCCGCCACCGAGCCCGGCGACGGCCGCCCTGTTCGCCATGATGACCAACAACACGCCGGGCACGTCGGACGCGGCCGCGACCGCCTCGTCGACCGTCGCCGCCCTTGCCGGCGGCGGCCCGCGCCCGCACGAGGGCCCCAACGAGGCCAACTCGTTCGAGGCGAGCTTTGCGCGCGCCAACTCGGACAACCTCATCACGACGGGCGCGCACAAGCGCACCCCGCACGAGGCGGCCCTGCACCGCTCGGCCCTCCAGAACCAGATGAACGGCATCGGCGCCGTCGGCTCGGCGCCCGCCGTCCCGCAGGTGCACAGCCTGCGCGGTGCGCCGCCGCCGTCGCACCTGCAGCAGCCGCCGCCGCCGCAGCAACAGCAGCAACCGCCTCAGGGCGGCGGCATCCCTTCGTCGGCCGCGTTCGTCCCGCCGCCGCCGCACGGCGCGTCGTCCTACTACGGCCCCGCCTACCCAGCCGGCGCTCCCCCTCCCCCTCCTCACGGCGGCTACGCGCCGGTGCCCCCTGCGCCCTCGCACGACCCGTCGTCGACCGGCGCCCCGACCGGCGCCAGTTCCGGCGCTCCTCCTCCCGGCGCGCTCCACTTTACGGCGCCGCCGCGCCCGCAAAACCCGCTCGACCTCTTGACGGCGGCGAGCAACTACAATGACGACACGGTCGTCGCGGCGGCGGCGCTCTCGGGCCTCGCGACGCCCGGCGGCGGCTTCCCGGCGGCGGCCATCCTCGCCGCGCAGCAGCAGGCGCAGCAGGTGCAGGCGCAGCAGCACGCCCAGCAGCAGCAGCACCAGCAGCACCAGCATCAGCAGCACCCGCAGCACCCGCACGTCATCTCGGGCGGCATGGGCGTCATGAACGGCGGCGGGCGCCAGGAGGGCTCGCCCGTCCCGTCGGGCGCCAACGGGCGCGGCAAACGCGGCGCGTCGGCCCAGCTCGTCCAGCAGCAGCAGCAGCAGCAGCACCCGTCGCCGCAGCAGGCGGGCCCGCCGGCCAAGCGCGCCCGCAAGCAGACGGCGGCGGCCGCGGCGGCCATCGCGGCCGAGGCGGGCGGGCTCGACTACGACGAGGACGAGGGCATGTCGAGCGCCGGCGGCGCAGCCGGTGCGGGACCGTCGGCGACGCCCGCGCCCAAGAAGGCGGCGGGCAAGAAGGGCGGGCGCAAGGGCGCAGCCGCGACGGCAGCGGCGGCGGCGGCGGCGGCGGCCAAGAAGGAGGAGGCGTTCGACGACGGCGCGAGCGTCGGGAGCACGGCCGACGGCGACATGGGCATGTACGGCTACGACGACATGGGCGGCGACGGGTACGGCGCCGAGGGCAGCCAGCCGCCCGAGTCGCAGCCGAAGAAGGGCGGCCGCGGGCGCAAGAAGGACTCGGGCGAGACCGAGGAGGAGAAGCGCAAGAACTTCCTCGAGCGCAACCGCCAGGCGGCGCTCAAGTGTCGCCAGCGCAAGAAGGCGTGGCTCCAGTCGCTCCAGACCAAGGTCGAGCTCCTCACGACCGACAACGACACGCTCCAGAGCACGGTCAACAACCTCAAGGAGGAGGTCCACTCGCTCCGCTCGATCCTCGCGGCGCACGCCAACTGCCCCGTCGCGCTCGGCAACGCGCCGCCGGCCCACCACCCGCACGGTCCGCCGCCGCCGCACGTCCAGCACCGCGGCATGCCCGGCTCGCTCCCGCCCGGGCTCGCGCCGTCGACCATGCCGCCGCAGGGCTACGCTCCGCAGGCGCAGTACTGAGCGCGGCGCGCTCGCTCGGCGGCGCCGCCTCGAGGCGACCGCGGCTCGGACCCTCCCTCTCTTTCTCGTCGTGCCCTCTCCTTGTCCATAGTCTCTCGCAGTATCCTCTCCTCTCTCTCTCTCTCTCGTCGTGCCCGCCTCTGCCCGTTTGTCGTAATCGCACCACCCGTCCTCTCGTTCTTCCTTCCTCCCCCCCCCCTCCCTCGTCGCTTGGACCCCCTCGCCCTCTTTTGCCATGTCGCACCCTCTCTGCACTGCAAGCGAGCTCTCGTCTCTCCTTTATCGGTCTCAGGTTCGGCGGCGAGCCCCTTGAGAGAAGGAGGAAAAGAGTAAGAGAGGACGATTTGCGAGCGGTACAACAACAACCCTCGTTCCCGCTCCCGGCACCGCTCACCGAAACTCGACCTCGCCCTCGTACCCTCCATCGCCTGCACCCGAGACCGCACCGACGGTCGGGCCCGCGCCGCCGGCGCCCGCAGCCTGCGGGAACGGGCTCCCTCCCGGCGACTCGCCGGCGCCGAGCCCGCTCACGGCCGCCGTCCCGCTCGCCTGCACGACGCCGAGCGCCGCCAGCTTGCTGCTTGCGGCGGCCGCCGCTGCAGCAGCGAGCATGCCTGCCGGCGCGCCGCCGGACGAGGTCGCCGTGCGCGCCTTCTTGCTCGGCGTCTCGGTGCCGCCCGCACCGGCTCCTGCTCCTGCTGCGGTCGCGCTCGAAGACGAGTCGAGGCTATCCGGCTGCTGTGGCGCCGAGGCGGCGGCCGCGACAGCTGCGGCGTGTGCGGCGCGCTGCGTCTCGAGGAAGAGGCGCACGGCGGCTTGCTCGTCGAGGTCGTCGAGGTAGGCCTGCTCGGCGAGGGCGGCGGCGTACCGGTCGCACAGGGGCTTGCAGGGCGTCGAGGGGAAAGAGGTCGTGGTCGAGGGAGGGTGGGGCGAGTTGGCGAGGGCGGCGTCGACGTCGTCGGGTGGCGGGAACGCAAAGTCGGGACCCGGGTTGAGCGTCGCGATGCCGCCGCCAAAGACCGACACCATGGGGAAGTAGCCGAGCGCGCCGTCGTCGTGGTGGTTCTCCATCAGGGCGCGCGAGTCCTTTTTGCGGGCGGGCGCCGTGCCGGGCGGCGGCTTGTCGCGGCGCAGCGGGACAAAGTCGTACAGGTCTTCGAACGCGACGCCTTGGCAGACGCCGTCGACGAAGAAGGCGACCTTGCTGCCCTCGAGGCGCGGGAGCGGGCGCAGAGGGGGACCGTCGTCGGCGGCGGCGGCCGGGGCGCGAGTGCCGGGAGCGGCCGCCTTGGCCTTGCGGCGCTTCTCCTCGGCCTGGCGGTCCTTGAACGCCTTGAGGGCCGGGTCGACGAGGAGCTCGTCCATCTCCTTGGACGGGGCGTGCTCGAGCTGCTCAAAGTACAGCTGGCCCTTGTACCGGATCGGGATGCGCTTGCGCACGATGCGGCGCGGGTCGCGCTTGTCGACGATGGGCGGTGCCGCCGTCGCCGAGCGGCTCGGGAGCGAGACGAGGACGCCGATCGTGTGCGACGTGCCGTAAGGCTGGCCGTACGGCTGGGGCTGCGCGACCGTGACGACGTCGCCCGTCTTGTCCCGGAAGCCGTACGAATAGCTGCGGGTGGACAAGGACCGAGAGTCAGTCCCGAGTTCGACGCAGAAAGACACAAAGAGAGAGAGAGAGTCGAGACGGACCCGTCGATGCCGACTGGAGCGTTGAGCGGGCTCTCCCTGCGGCCGACGCCGACGCGGACCCAGCTGCCCTCGCCCTCGCCGCCCTTGTCGCGCCCACCGTCGCCGCCGCCGCGGTCAACCTTGACCTCCCAGTACCAGGTGCCCTCGCGGAGGCCGACGACGCTCCTTGCAGCGCGCCAGCCCTTGTCGGTCGTGATGGTGCGGGCGTCGTCGGTGAGGAGGGTAAAGGGGGAGCGGTCCTCCCAGCTCCAGCGGACGCCGGGCGGGTAGCTCTCGATCGAGCGCTGGGGCGGGACGGGGAGCGGGGTGCCGTGCGAGGGCCCGCAAGGGGTGTAGCGGAACCCGAGCTTGTTGAACGGGTGAGAGCGCGAGGTGTAGAAGTCGAAGGGCGAGTCTGGGAGGGCGAGGGTGTGGGGCACGAGGACGGGCGGGTTCGAGATGTCGGTCGGGTCGGCAGGGAGGGGCGCAGGGGAACGACTGGGCGGTGTGGGCGCCGAGGGCGACAGGCGGCGCTTGGTCGGGCGGCGGCGAGGTTCCTGCGAGTCACTCGAGCGAGGGTCAGGGTCGCGTGTGCGGGTCGAGCCAAGGTCTTGGGACGGACCTCTGACTCATCGCGGTCGTGGCTGGGCGTGACGGGCGAGTGCAAGCCGTGCTCGTCGACGAGGTTGGTCGAGTGGAACGACGACGACCCGGCCTCGCTCGAGGGACCGGCGAGGAGCGCTGGATCGAGAGCAAGCGGGTACTCGAGGGCCATGGCGCGGCTGCAGCAGCTCGGCAGGTCGCGCTGTGCGTGTGCGGAGGACGAGAGCTTCCTCCGCGATGAGGTTCGCCTCGCCCCACACCTCGACTTGCGTCTCTGTCGCTAGAGCGCTAGGTCGCGCTCGCCTGCTTCCTTCATGAGCCTGCCCACCCGCACACACGCGGTCCGCCGACTCGCCCTCGTCTCGCTCGTCGCCTCGACCCTCCTCGGCGTTCACGCTCACGAGGTCCGTCTCCCTCTCTGTCCACCCCTCCAAGCCTCGTGCACGTTCGGTAGCAACGGTCCTGCACCTGAGCTGCTCATCGAGCGCAAGCTACGAGGCCGCGCGGGGCGACGCCGTCCAGCCACCCTCGCTGACCCTCTCTCTCTCGCCGCCTCCAGCATCACGACGTCGATGTCGGCCCGTACGAGCACAACTTTGTCAACGAGGAGCCCCTCGACTCGGTCATCAAGTGGCACATCGCGTCCGTCGACCTGTCGTCCCTGTCCTCCACTCCAGGGACCCGTCCGCTCACTCTCCTCCCCTCGACGACGCAGGATCCAGGTCTTCTGCTGGGGCATCCTCTTTCCTGCAGGTGCGCCGCATCGTTCACGCTCCACCTCTCGACCCGGCGCGCGAGCCTGACGATCCTCTCGCGCCGACAGGCATGGTCCTCGGCATCACCCGCTCGCGCTTCCACGCCCCGCTCCAGTCGCTCGGCGTCGTCCTGAGCCTCGCCGCCAACTACCTCGGCCACCACCACGCCGGGCGCGACTTCCACACGACAGCCCACTCGCACTTTGCCGGTTACCTGTGGTGGTACCTCGCGTCGCAGACGCTCATGGGCATCTTCCTCAAGCTGCACGTCCTCGAGGGCTCGCTCGCCAGGCGCGTCGTCGTCAAGGCGCACGGCATCGTCGGCAAGAGCTTCCCCGTCTTTGGCTGGACGCAGATGATCTTTGGGTGCGTCCTCGTCCTTCCTCGCACCGGAAATGCCGCGCTCTCCTCTCCGCCTACTGACCTTCCTCGGACCCGTTCCTCCTGCAGCGGTATCGCAGCACTAGGCTTCTGCTTCGGCGAGCACGTCGGGCAGTGCGCAGCGCACTTTATCATGGGTGAGCCCGACCTTTCGCTCGGTTCCCCCTTCCATTCTCTCGTTCCCTCTCGCGGTCCATCTTTCGCCTTTGCGTCGCCTTCTCTCTCTCGACTTGTCGTCGTCCAGCAATGCTTGGGTCGGGCAGGAACGGCGCACTGACCCTTGCTCTCGTCCCTCGCAGGCTCTGCCTTCATCGCGTACGGCGTCATCCTCGTCCTCATGATGCGCCTCGGCGCCGGCTTCCTCCTGCGCCACAACATGTCGCAAGAGTACATGGACTCGTGGGTGCTCATGCTGTGGGGTGCGTCCCCCTCCTCTCGTCGCTCTCGGACGGCCGGCGTGGGCCCGAGCGAGCGCGCTGACCTTCTCTCGACGCCCCGGCGCACAGGCATCGTCAATACCTTTACGGAACACGACTTCCTCAGGGGCTACTCGTCGTCCTGGTCGCACAAGGACATGCAGCAGTGAGCCCTTCTCGCTCTCTCCAAACCGCCCTCGACGATTCCTGACTCATCCTCTTGCGCAGCGTCTCGCTCGGGGTCCTGTGGTGGGCCGGCGGGGCTCTTGGCATCTGGCTCGGCCGCAATCACAAGCGCAACATCATCCCAGGCCTGCTCATTGTGCGTCCACCTCGCCCTCGTCGCCGTCGCCGACTCAGTCGGCGGGACCTGACTCTTTGCGCCGACAGTCCCTGACGGGCTACGCCATGGCCAATCACGGCCAGCACCTCGAGTTCTCGACCAACGTGCACAAGTTCTTCGGCTGGTGCCTCATGGCGGCCGGCGTGTGCCGCATCATCGAGATCTGCTTCGTCCTCGGCGACGCCCCGACGCCGGCCCTCGACGACGCCGTCGCCGGTCGGCCGAAAGCGTTCCAGCACTTGACGCCGTTCCTGCTCGTCCTGAGCGGCATCACGTTCCTGAGCGCGACCGAGGAGCAGATGCAGTGGGTCGCCGGCTCGGGCATGGACTCAACGACGTACGGCAACGTAAGCCTCTCTCTCTTTCTCGCTCCTCTCGTCTCCTCGACTCTCTTCTCCTCTCGAGTCCTCTCACTGACGTACCTCTCCCTGTCACAGATCCTCCTCAGCGGCGCCTTCGTCATCTACCTCGCGTGCACGGTCCTGTTCGACCTGTACGAGTTCCAGACGCGCCACCGCTCGACCGCATCCGCGATCGGCCTCGCGCCGTCCTCCTCGTCGGACTCGGACGTCGAAGGCGGCAGCTCGAGGCGGCACATCGGCGGCGGCGGCGGGCGCGGCTCGAGCGCGCTTGCAGCGCTCGTCGCGCCGTTGGTCGCGCTCGTGCGCGGCGGCGAGCGGGACGGCGGGCGCGAGGCGCGAGCCGAACCGGCGCCGTACGAGTCGCTGCCGGTGCGCACGCCGGCGACGAGCGGCCGGCGCGACAGCACGGGCGGGTTCGAGCTCGAGGAGCGCGACGGGTCGCTCGGCAGCGGGAGCAGCCGGGAGCGGGCGAGGCGAGGCGACGGGGCGGCGAGCGGCAGTCAGGAGACGGTGTTCAGCCTCGCGGACGAGGTCGACGGCGAGGAGGAGGACGACGGGAGCGACGCGTACTGGGCGAGGGAGGAGAAGGCGCAGAGGTCGAGTCGGAGGTTGTGAGGCCGGTTGCTCTCTCGGTCGCTCGCTGTTGTACTCGGTTCCCTGTCAAGCTTCAGTTGGACTCGTCAAGCTGTGCTTGCGGCGAGAGAGCGAGCGGCAACACGCCGCGGGCCGTCGGAACTTGGGCGCGAGAAGGACCGCGCCTATCTTGAGCCAGCCCTCGCTTCTCTCGCTCTCGACCAACCGCTCCAGCACCGCCATGGTCGCCGCACCGCCCTACCACGTTCCCCTGCCCCACCTCACGAAGGATAGCTGGCGCGACGAGGCTGCCAAGAAGCGCGACCAGCTCGCGTCCCTCATCCCCGCCGAGTGGCAGCTCTCCCCCGAGGCCCTCGACGCTGCGGGCGACGATGTGCGCGGCCTCGCTGCATCGAGCGGCATCCTGAGCGACCGCGAGCTCGACATTACTGAGCTGGACGAGGTACAGGAGGTTCGTCCCCGCTCCACTTCCCCACCTCTTGAGTCTTCGCGACCGCGTGGAGCTGATTCTGCCTCGCCTTGCCCCACCAGCTCGCCAGCCGCATCGCCAAGGGCACCTACACGGCCGTCGAGGTCACGACCGCCTTCTGCAAGCGCGCCGCCATCGCACAACAGCTCACCAACTGTGCGTCCCCCTCCCTCGCACTCCCTCCCTGACTCAACTCGCGACAAAGAGCTGACTGTTTGCACCCGACATGCAGGCTTGACCGAGATCTTCTTTGACGATGCGCTCGAGCAGGCCAAGAAGCTCGACGACGTCCTCAAGTCGACGGGCAAGCCAGTCGGCCCTCTTCGTGCGTCCTCCCTTTCCCTCTGTCGTCCGCGTCCAGATCCTCCTTTCCCTCGACGCCATGCAACGTCCTCGAGGGTGTTGCTCGCCGTAGCGGCGAGGACGAGCCGCTGACCTGCTGGCGCCCCGTTGCAGACGGTGTCCCGGTCTCGCTCAAGGACCAGTTCGACATTGCCGGCAAGGAGCTCACGATGGGTGCGTCCCGCTCTCCTCCCTCGTACGTGGTCGATAGAGCGGCGTCCTGACGAGCTCTTCTTCGTGACCCCTCGCAGGCTACGTCTCGTACCTCGGCCGCATCTCGAAGCGCGACTCGGCCCTTGTCGCCCTTCTGCGCGACGCAGGCGCCGTCTTCCACGTCCGCACCAACGTTCCGCAGGTGCGCTCAGCTTTTCTTTTTCTTTCTCTCGACTTGCTCGGCGCCGAACTGACACATCGTCGACCCGCAGACGCTCATGGTGTGCTCCCTCGACGCCGTTCTCCTCTCTCCCGGCGGCAAAGACTGACGGCTGCCCGCCTGCAGATCGGCGACACGTTCAACCACCTGTTCGGCCGCACGCACAACCCGATCAACCGCAAGCTCAGCCCGGGCGGCTCGAGCGGCGGCGAGGGTGCGCTCATCGCCATGAAGGGCTCGATTCTCGGCGTCGTGCGTCCACTTCCTCCGCCTCTCCTTCTCATATTGTCCACTGAAATATCTTGTGTGCGACGCAGGGTACCGATATCGGGTGCGCTCTACTCTTTCTCGCCATCTGCCGCACGGTCCTCGGACTGACTCGCTCTTCTCTCCGTGCAGCGGCTCGGTGCGCATCCCGTCCGCCTTCTGCGGCCTGCACACGATTCGTCCATCGACTCGTCGGGTGCCGTACGGCCTCGCGACCAACAGCATGGTGCGCCGCCTATTTCTCGTTCCCGTCCACCCTCTCTCGAATTTCCCAAGTCGCCGTTTTTCCTCGACTTGACTGACACGCCTCGTGTCGATCTACAGCTCGGCCAAGAAGCGATCCTGTCGGTTCCCGGCCCCATGGCCCGCTCGCTCGCGTCGTGCACCTACTTCAGCCGCATCGTGTTCGGCCTCGCCGCCAAGTACGACGCGACGGCCCTTCCCTTCAAGTTTGACGACGCCGCGTTCGAGACGGCCAAGAAGCACGACAAGCTGTCGTTCGGCGTCATCCGCACCGACCTCGTCGTGACGCCGACGCCGCCCGTCAAGCGCGCGCTCGACCTTGCCGTCCAGAAACTGCGCGACGCCGGGCATGAAGGTGCGTCGACGGTCCGCTCCCTACTCCTCGTCAGCACCTACTGACTCTCTCGTCTCCTTTGCAGTGCTCGAGTTCGACTGGTCCGACTTTACCGGCGCGTGGGAGGTCGCCTGCGAGCTTTACGACGCCGTACGTCCCCGGCCTCACTTCGAGTCCGCGCCGACCGGCCGCAGCCTTGACTGACTCTTTCCTCTCTCGCACGCATGCAGGACGGTGGCGAGGACTTCCGCCGCACGCTCGCCGCCATCGACGAGCCGCTGATCGAGGGCCTCATCATCGACCCGAACGGGCTCCGCACGACGTACGAGGTGTGGCAGATCAACCGCACCAAAGAGGCGCTCCAGCAGGCCTTCCTCGACCGGTGGATGGCGAGTCAGGCGCAGACGTCGACGGGCCGGCCGTTCGACGGCTTGCTGTGCCCGGCGGCGCCCATCCCGGCCCCTCGTCCTCTCGGCAACAAGCATGTCGGCTACACGGCGTGCGTCCCCCTCTCGCCCTCTCATCCTCCCCCCCGCCTCGTAACTTGACCTGACGACGACCCGGCCGTGCAGCATGTTCAACCTCCTCGACGCGCCGTGCACCGTCTTCCCCGTCACCAAGGTCGACCCGGCCGTCGACAAGCCCGACTCGGCGTTCAAGGCCCTCACCGAGGTCGACCAGCAGATCCACGACGAGTGTACGTCCGCTTCTCTCTCTCTCTCTTCCCCTTCTATCGCCGGCCTTTGTCCCTCTCGCGCGCGAGCTCACAAGCCTCTCGGCCCGTCCGCAGTCGACTCGACCTTGACGGCCGGCCTACCCGTTGCGCTCCAGGTTGTCGGACAGCGTTGGCGCGACGAGGAGGTGCTCGCCGTCGGGCAGATCGTGGCCGACATCGTCGGCAGCCAGAAGTGGGAGCAGTGAGAGGGCGAGGGGAGCGAGCGTCGCTCGACGGAGGAGCGCTCGCGCAAGGGTCTGTATCGAGGGATCTGGGCGTAGCTCGTCTCTCTCTGTTTGTCTATTGCGCCTGCAATCTGGAACGAGTGCGAGCGAGAGAACCGTGAGCGCTCACTCGACTCTGCGCGGAGAGCTCGTCTTCGTCCGGCGGGCCTCGCTCCTTCCTCGTCTTGCTTGACCTTGTGGCGCGTCAAGCTGTCTGCGATGGCCTCTGCAATGCAACCGCGCTAGCGCACACAGACCGCTCTGACGTGACCGCCCTTCGAGAGCGTCTCATCAGCTCGGAGCGCTTTTGCTCCTCTCTCTCCCGTCACAGCCAGCGCGACATGGCCCAAATCGCTTGGAGTGGCTTCCCCGACGGTACTACAACGGCCCAGGTCACGGCGCTGTCGCCTGCGTCGCTCTACATGCCCGACTGGTTCGTCGAATCGCCCGCGGTTTCCGGCGACGGGTGCGCCTCTTGTTCTTCCTGTAGAGCAGTGCAAGCGCAGTACTGACTCAGTATGGACCATGTGCAGCCACCGGCACCCTGTCGTCACCCTCCTCATCAAGCACGAGCCGACTGGCCGCCTCGCCCTGTTCGACCTCGGCCTCAACTCGAGCTGGCGCGACGCGGTACCTGCCGCTGAGCTGCCCGGGTACGACCTGTTCGACGTCAAGGTCGAGGCAGACCTCGTCGACGTGCTCGCCGGCAAAGGTCTCAAGCCCGAGGACATCTCGACCGTCATTCTTTCGCGCACGGCCGCTCTCTTTTCTTCCTCGCCGACGTTCAGCGACAGATCATTGACCTCGTCTCACTCTCGCAGACCACCACTTTGATCATGTGGGCGATGCGAGGCAGTTCGCCTCGTCGCAGATCGTCGTCGGGCCCGACACCAAGCACAAGATCCGGGCGCTCGACCACCTCGACAACGTCCTCGAGCTCCCGTGGGACACGCCCTCGCCCCGCATCGCGACGTTCGACCATAGCTACGACGTCTGGGGCGATGGCAGCCTCGTCCTCGTCGATGCGCCGGGCCACACGTCGGGTCACCTCGCCGCCCTGATCCGCACGGGCTCGGACGAGTACGTCCTCGCCGCCGCCGACTGCTGCCACCACCCTCGCCTGCTCGCGCCCAAGCCCGACGAGTCACACTACCGCCTCGGCAAGTGGCGCGAGGCCGGCGAGCCGCAGGACGAGCCACCGCAGCACTCGAACTACGACGACTACCCGCTCGCCGAGCACACGCTCGAGCGCGTCAAGGCGGCCAACGACCGCGACGACGTCATGGTCGTCCTCGCGCACGACTTTGCGCAGTGGGAGGCGTGGGGCAAGGAGAAGATGGTGCGCGAGGGCGTCGAGCTGCACGGGTGGAGGGAGAAGAAGCTCAAGGTCTCTCGTTGACGAGCCGGGCCGTAGCACGAGCTGTAACGAGTCGTCTGCGAATGTGCATGTGCGAGTGACAATACAGATGCAGGAGCAGGTCCGGGTACCGAAAAATGCTGCGAGATGCTGCCCTCCTCCTCGATCGTCCTCGTCGCCGAACTCGTCCAGCGAGCCGGCTCGTCTATGCTTTGTAGTCCATCGACTGCAAGTCGTCGTCGTCGCGATGAAGGAGGCGCGCGTATTCGAGGACTGCGAGAGACAGGAGAGGAGAGAGGCCCAAGGGAGAGAGGGTCAGTGAGGGAAGGACGACGACGAGGACGAGGACTGGTCGACGCACGCAGGCGGAAGGCGTATGCGGCCAGGTCGACCTCGCGATAGTGCTCCTCGGACCACTTTTTGCCCTGCTGGGCGATGCGCTTGGCGAGCGCGTCGTGCGACCCAGTGCCGTCGGGCGCGCCGATGAAGAAGGCGGCGACGTCGGGCAGGTCGCTGTAGTCCGACTGGATCGGGATGTAGCTGCTCAGGAAGGGTCGAGTCAGAGTCGAGGTCGATAATGCGCGAAGAGAGAGAGAGGGAGCTGGGACGCACTGGTACCACTACGACGAGAAAGTGCGAGGCACGACGGCGACGAGGGAGAGAGGAGGAGACCGAGTCAGGGCCTTGGCGCAACGAGGAGAGACGCTCGAGAGAGAGAGAGAGAAAGAGAGCGTACCGGCATGATGCGCTTGGACCACCATTCGGGGAAGATGGTCGACTTGAGGACGATCGAACGCGAGCTCCTGCAGGGGCGACAGATCCCGGGTGAGCTCGACGCTCTCGACCTCGGCCGACCGAGAGGAAGACGGGAGGGACGCACATGAGACGCTTGAACTTGCCGCTGGCGTAGTTGGCGTCGACGTCGAGCACGTACTTGTACTTGTTCTCCTCGTCGGCCGACAGCCACTTGTCGAAGCGGTACTCGTGCTGGACGAGCTTGCACGTCGTGTCCTTGGTGCTGCACTGCTTGGGCGAGCCCGTGTAGGCGACGTCGAACAGGTGGTGCGAGACGTCTCGCGCCGGCGCCGTGACGAGTCGTAGAGCGTCCGAGGTCGAGTCGGCGAGGTGCAGGGTGGCGTCGCCGGCATCGGCGTTGGCGACTGCAGGAAGGTGAGGCCGTCAGGTTCGAGGTCGAGGTCGAGAGACAGTCGATCAGGGAGGGGAGAGAGAGGAAGAGGAGACGCACGAGCGACGAGCCTCGCTCGCTGACTCTGCCGCCACCCGCTCCCCTTCGAGTGGTACGCGCCCGTCGTCTCGCCGCGCCACAGGACCTTGTTGTGCTTCTTCTGCTCCCACACCGGGTCCCGACCGACCTCGTCGTAGAAGTCGGGCGCAGCGAGCGGGAGGAGGAGGTCGGCGTGAACCGACGTCTTGGTCGACGAGAAGAGCGGGTACAGGAGGTACGGCCGAGGACCAGACCTGCGTAGAGGGACGACAAAGCGAGTCAGGACCTGTGCAGGACGAAGACACGAGGAGAGACGAAGGACGTACCACGCCGTGAAGCCGTTCAAGTCGCGCACCTCGGGATGCTCGCACAGGTCCATCGCCCGCCCGTGCTCGACCGAGACGAAGCTCTTGAGCGACGCGCTCGCGCCCTTCGACGGCGCATCGACGACGAGCCCCTGCGCGACGCGGCGAGCGGTCGAGTTGGGCGCGCAGAGCGAGTCGCGAGGCGTGAAGCCGGTCGGCTCGGCGATCTCGAACGAGGACGAGAGGTCGAGAACTGCGGTGACGGGTCGCAGGTGTCAGTGAATCGTCGAGGGCGCGCTCGAGGCGGAAAGGGAGGGGAAAAGGGGAGTGGGAAAGGGCAGAGAGACGCACCCTTGCCACCGCGAGCGAGTCGCTCGTGACGCTCTCTCGCCTCGCCGCTGACGACGACCGACGGCTCGTCGCCCTTTGCGACGCGCAGCTCGAGATCGGGCAGCATGTCGACGAACTCGGCGAGCAGGTCGAGGACGCCGTCCCTGCGCTCGGCGGCGTCGCCGGCACCTTGGCCCGCCACGACGGCGCCGTCTCGGACCTTGAGCTCGAACGACTGCTTGTACCACGGGAGCGCCTGGTCGGCCGTGAGCGACTTGACGCGTCGGCGGAACTCGGACGGGGCGAGCGACAGGAACGGGAGCACGTCCGAGTGGACCTGGTCGTACTCGTCGACGAGGCGAACGTGGTTCTGCATGGCGTAGCGCCACCTGTCGACGCAGAGGACGAGCATTAGTCTCTGCTCCTGAAGGAGGAGAAAGGGAGAGAGAGAGAGCGGGACGCACCAGCTGTCGAACCCGACGGGCGGGTTCATGCCGTACCGCCGACGGTACTCTGCGACGGCGTCTTCGAGCGTCTGGCTCTGTCGGCGCAGCAGGTCGTCCCACTCTTGCTCGGCGCGCGAGACGAGGTGCGAGATCGGGTGCAGGCGGTCGGGCAGCGCGGCGGCGACGCCCTCGGGCAAGGCGCGGCGCGTGAGGTTGGCCGTCGTCGAGACGGGGGGTTGGCCGACGTAGTGAGGTGCGACGGACGTCGCCGATGAGCTCGAAGACGTCGAGATGGCCGCAGAAGGAGCCGAGGCGCTCGCCTCGCTCGGCTCCTCAGGCGGCGGCGGCGCGACACCGACGACGGCCCGCTTGCGCAACTTGCGCATCGGCGGCGCCTGCGCCGCTCCGCCTCCCTCGCTCTCGGTCTCGCCCTCGCGCTCGACGACGCTCGACCGCTTGACGAGCCCCCTGCCGCCGGCCCTCGCGCGCCCTGCCGCCGCCTTGGCCAAGTCGGCCTCGCGCCTCGCCTTGTCGGCCTGGGCGCCTGCGTCGCCGCGAAAGACGGGCTTGGGCAGCGGCCGGCGCGGCGGGTTGAGCCGACGCTCCTCGCGCAGGGCCTGGGCGCGGCGGAGCGCCTCTGGGTCGCGGGCGGGCGGGCGGCCGTTGGCGGCGCCGCGACGAGCGGGTTTGGGCGGTGCGGGTGCGTCGGCGGCGGCGTCGGCGGGTACGGGCGCGGGAGCGGCGGCGGCGGCGAGGCGTGCGGCGTGCTTGGCCTCGAGGTCGGCGACGAGGGCGCGCTCGTCGGCCGTGAGGAGCGCAAACTCGTCGGGCTCGAGGGCGCGCACGGCCTCGAGGAGGGCCGCATCGTCTGCGGCCTCGTCGTCGTCGTCGATGTCGACGTCGTGATCGGCGCCGTCGAGCGAGTCGGACAGCTCGTCCTCGGCGTCGTGGTCGTGACCATGTGCGCCCGGTCCTCGACCGCCGCCGCCGCGCCACATGGCGTCGGCCTCGTCATCGTCGTCGTCGTCGTCGTCGAGGACGGCATGACCGTCGAGCACAACATGCATCGGCCCTCGTGCCGCGCCCGGCGCGTCGCCGCCGGCCTGCTTGGCCGCCGCTGCGGCCGCCGCCTCGCGCCGCTTGTCGTCGGCGGCGGCCCTCGCGTCGCGCAGGCGCTTCTCGGCCTCGAGCAGGTCGCGCGGCTTGCCCGGGATGAAGGGCATGTCGGCCTTGAGCGCGCGCGCGGCGGCGGCCGCGTTGGCGCCGAGGACGCGGCCCTGGGCGTCGCGCTCGGGCTTGCCGCGCGACCGGCCCGGGTCGGCGCGCTCGCGGATGGCGGCGGCGCGCTCGCGGGCTCCGGCGGCGCCGACGCCGCCTCGCGCGGCTGCGGCTGCTGCGAGGGCGGCTTGTCGAGGCTGGCGAGCGCCGGCTGCGGGGAGGGGCGCGCGAAGCGGGACGGGCGGCGCGTGGCGGGCTTCTGCGCCGGTCGCAGGCGAGATGGCGTGTCGACGGTGGCCGGGCGAGTGCGAGAAGAGCTCGCCGGGGAGGAGCCAGTCCTTTGGGGCGTGCGGCGGGAGCGAGAGGCCCTGATCGGGCTGGGCCGGGTACGGCGGCGGGGCGCGAGCGCCGGGGCGGGTCGCGGGTGCGACGGGGAAGGGTTTCGAGAGGGTGGCCCGAGGGATGAGGGACGGCGAGGTGCGGAAGTAGACGAGGCCGGCGTGGACGGTGTAGAGGGACGAGGTGAGGTCGGCGAGCGAGGTCGAGTCGGCGTCTGGATCTGGTGCGGGCGGCTCCCACCACTCCCACTCCTGGTCGTCTCGCCGGTGCGCTGCGGCTGCTTCGGCGACAGCGCGCCTCGCCGCTGCGCCGGGCCCTTGTGCGGCGTCGACGTCGTCGTCGTCGGGGACGAGCGGCGGTGCGTCTGGGGGCTGGAAGGCGTGCGGGGACCAGCGGTACTCTTGCGGGTTGTAGACCGGGTCGGGGAGGCGAGGCTGGTGCGGGTACAGGTGGGCCGAGAGCCAGGGGGCGACGAGGAGGCCGCACAGGAAGACGGGGACGAGGACGACCGGGTGCAGGCGGGCTCGAGGCGAGAAGAGGCGGCGGGCGGACGATGCGGTGGGCGTTCTCCGCTGGAGGAGCTTTGGAGAGGTCGGGTAGTCCCTCGAGGGCTGCGGTGCGCCCCTGTACATGGCGCCGTCGGTCGAGGGCCGGGTGGTCGAGATGAGGAGGGAGGCCGGGTGCGCTCGTTCGAGGACGGGTGGGGCGTGTCGGGTCGAGGTGCGAGTGTGCTCGTGGCCCAGCTGGCGAGCACAGCCAGTGTCGAGCGAGAGCGAGAGCCGGGAGCGCCGAGAGCGCGTCGAGCCGCGGAGGAGGACGAGGTCGCCTCGTTCGCCAGCCACTGCCAGCTCTCGACCAGGCGCACACGGCCACCTGTGTGCTCTCCCTGACGAGCACCCGCCACCTCGCATGGCGCCACACCCTGGACCGCACGCGGCTGTCGCCTCGTCGTCGTCGTCTTCGTCCCTGTCGACCTTCCCTCGGCTCACGGCAGCTCAGCGACGACGCATCGAGGACACGCTTGCCCACCTCGAGCCACACGCCACCACCTGGGCGGACCTCACCCGCGCTCAACACCGCCTCGCTCAACAAGACCCCAACCGCCGCGGCGGCGACGACGACGACGACGACGGCCTGTACGAGCTGTGGCTCAAGCTAGTGTGGCAGCAGGGCGTCACCTGGCACGACAAGTGGGCCGCAGCTCAACACCCACACGCCTCGCCCTCGCCAGCCGCACCCGCGACGCGCAACCACCGCCGACGCCCGAGCGACAACCTCGACCTCCTGCGCCGCAAGCTCGACCGCGTCTCGCTCGACCCGCCCGAGCCTCGCCGTCCTCCCGACCGGGCCCAGTCGACCCCGCCACGCCCGCTCCTCGTCCACCGCACCGCGCCCGCCCCTCCAGGAGGCTACTCGTCGTCCGACGACCAGTACGCCGGCGTGCCCGCACGGCGCCCTCGCCGCACCTCGCTCCTCGACGCTCGCCTCCTCGAAGCCCGCACCCAGCGGCACCCTCCTCCTCGAGGCGACCCCGCCACCACCGACGACGCCGACGAGGCGCAGCGTGCGCGACCCGCTCTGCGCACCCGCTCGTCGTTCGTGCGCCCTCGTCCCCCGCCGGTCGACGACGGCGACGACGCGTTGCTCGGTGCATCGCCCGTGCACGGTCCGTTGCACTCGACGCCGGCCCCGCGACGGCGCTCGTACACCTCGACCCCTCGCGCCGCCGCACCATCCGTCCTCCCGACCTCGCCTCCTCCGCCGGCGCCCCTCTCCCCGTCCCGCCACCCTCTCCTACACGCTCGACTCTCGGCCCTCTCGCACCCTCGAGACGCTGTCGACGCACCTCCCCCTCCTCCCGCACCGGCCCCATCCTCACCCGACCTCGGCGCGCTCGCCCTCTCCTTCTCGCGCCTGCGCCTCCTCCTCCCGACTTTCGCGCACTGGTCCGCCCTTGCCGCCTTTCACGCCTCGCGCACCGCCACCCTCGCCGAGCGCCGCGCCGCGTGGCTCGCGCGCTGCGCCCTGCGCACCTGGCGTGCGCGCGTCGAGCGTACGAGGGAGCTCGAGCGGCGAGGCGAGGCGGTCGCGCGCGAGCGAGAGCGCACGAGGGACGAGCGCGTGCGACGGGCGGCGCTCGAGGCGTGGAGGGCGCGCAGGGCCGAGCGCGAGCTCGAGAGGGACGACGAGCGCAGGAGGGCCGAGCGCGACGAGCGCGAACGCGCGCTGCGTCGGGCGAGGGACGGCGCCGCCCGCGTCGTCGAGCGCGGCAGGGCGTCGAGGGCGCTCGCTGTGTGGCAAGGACGAGCGCGAGAGGCGAGGGCCGAGCGGTTTAGGGTCGGCGCGCTCGGGCGTGCGGCGGTCCGGGTGTGGGTCGATGCGGCAGAGCGGCGGCGAGCGCGGAACGGGGCTCTCGGCGAGGTGGCGAGCGAGCAGTGGGCTGCGTCGGAGGCGCGCAGGGCGCGAGGGGCGTGGGCCGGGTGGCTGAGGAAGACGGCGTTCCGCGTGCGCGAGCACGAGCTCGTGCGGCGGCGCGAGGGCGACCTCAAGCGCGACGTGTGGGACACGTGGGCCGACAAAAAGTGCGTCGCTCTCTCTCTCCCTCTCCTGTTGGCGGCGGTGGCGACCCTCGAGAGACGACGAGGGCACTGACCTTTTTTCGGCCTCGCCGCTCCTTCCAGACGTCAAGCCGACCACGACGCGCGCTTGTCCTCCATCGCCTCGACCCACCATGCCCGCCACCTCGCCTCGCTCGCCCTCGCCCAGTGGCGCACCCGCCTGTCGCACCTCACGCGCCTCTCGCGCGCCGCCGACGCGCGCGCTCAGGCCCTCGTCGCCCAGCGCGCCGCCTCGTCCCTCGTCACCTGGCGCCTCTCGACCCGCCTGTCACTCCTCGCCCGAGCGCGCTCGCACGCCCTCGCCGAGTCGGCCCTCGGCGCCTGGTCGGCCGCGTACGAGCACGTCGAGGTCGAGCTCGCCGGGCGCGCCGACGCCCTCGTCGCCCGCACGGGCGCCCAGCTGCGCGCCGTCACGTTCGGCGCGTGGCACGAGGCGACGCAGCAGCGGGCGCGCCTCGAGGTGGCGGCGCAGGGTGTCGACCGCGCGAGGGTCTTGCGGCGGGTCGTCGGGCGGTGGAAGGCGCGCGAGGAGGCGCAGCGCGTCCAGGCGCGCAGGGCCGACGTCGTGAGGGACTTTATGCAGGTCAGAGGGGCTTGGAGGACGTGGTGCGAGATGGCGTGGGACGGCAGGAGGGCGAGGTGGGAGGGCGAGAGGAGGACGGCGAGGAAGAAGGAGGCGTTCGACTGTGCGTCCCAGCCTCTCTCCCATCTTGTCCTCCATGAGCACCGTGCAGCCCGACTGACTCTCGATGGCTCGCAGTCTGGCTCTCGCAGGCGCGGCAGAAGGTGCGAGACGAGCAGCTGGTCGTTCGAGTGCAGGAGCAGCAGGCCAAAGTGAGCCGTCCGGTTCTCCTCGTCGCGTTCTGACAACCGTCGAGACGTGACTCTGACACCTTTGCCGTTGCAGCGCATCCTCGCGACGACCCTCGAGGCGTGGAAGGCGCGCGTCATCGTCCGCAAGTCGCTCGAGCAAGACGCAAGCACCTTCTTCGGCCGCAAGGCCGTCCTGTGCGTCCTCTCTCTCGCTCTCCTCCTCCTCTGTGGCTCGTGAGGCATGTATTGACGCCTTTTGATGCAGGTCGGCCTTCACGCGGTGGACTGCGCAAGCTTATCGGGCAGAAGATCGCCTCGTCCTCGCCGACGAGCACCGGGCCGTCAAACTCGAGGGTGCGTCCACAATCTCTCGCCCCACCTTTAGCCTCTTTCGCCCAATCTGACCCTCTTGCCCGTCCTGCAGAGCTGCGAGACCGCATCTTCCACGCCTGGCTCCTCTCGACTCGGCGCTCGTCGACTTTGCGACACCGGCTCTCGGGCCTCCTCGCCGCGCGCGACCAGCGCCTCAAGGTCGTCGCGTACGACGCCTGGCGGGACAAGGCGCTCGAGGGGCGGGAGCGTGCGACGGTGGTACGCAGGGAGGCGAGGGAGCGAGCGCAGGCGTTGGAGCACTGGAAGGGCAGGACCAAGGTGCGTCGCTCGCCGCCGCTCGACCATTCTCAGCAGCCTCCCTGACTCTTCCGCCATGCGCAGACCCTCATCGCTATCCAGCACCACAACTACGTCCTGGCGGCCGCGACGCTCGCCGGCTGGCGCAAATGGACGATGCCGGCCGACCTCGTCCTGCGCGCCGTCGAGACGGACCATGGCGCGATCACGAGTGCGTCGCGCACCTTCACAGCCCGTTCATGACGACAATGACCCCTACTGACATCGCCTTGCGTCGAGCAGGTGGCGCTCTGCAGGTCTGGCGGATCAAGACGGGCGCAAAAAGGGCGCTCAAGTCGCTCAGGTGCGTCGACTTTTCCTCTTCCTCTCTTGCTCTCGACGCCCTCGCTCACGCTCTCTCTCGTATACAGCGGCCGTATGCGCCTCGCCAACTCGCCTGGGTCCTCACCGCCGTCGCGCCTCTCGCCGTCCAACCGCCCGCCTCACTCGGCCACGACGTCGCCCGCTCCTGCCCCGGCCGCGCTCGCTCTTACCGCCTTGCCGCCCAACAGCGCACCTTCCGCCTCCATCGACGCCTCCTTCGCGTCACTCTCGGCGTCCACCACGCCGACGACCCATCGCCCGTCGCCCTCACCAAGCCTGCGCCGCCTTTCCTCCGCCCGGGCGCCCTCGGCTGCCGCACCAGCACCGTCGTCACGACCCCGCCTCGCCGCCGAGTACGGCTCCTCGTCCGGGCTCGTCGCGCGGGCCGAGCCGAAGCCGCGCACGGCGAGGTCGCACTCGATCGTGAGCCGGCTCAGCGGCAGGTCGGCGCGGTCGCTCCCTGGACCTGGCGGCGGGCGAAGCGCCGACCATGTCTTCTCGTCCTCAGATGAGGAGGACGACGGAGGAAGCGAGGACGGCCGCTGGCGCCGGCGAGGAGCGCGCGAGACGGGGACGCGCAGCGAGGGAGGAGGGGTTGGCGAGCGGGAAGGAGGGCAGCGCGACGTGAGAGGCGAGTACGCGGCGCTCAGGGCGCGGTTGAGGGCAGCGGCGGTGGCCGCCAAGGGGAGATAGAGCTGCGAGGTTGCGGACCGAGTGAGGCGAGGCGAGCGGGTCGAGCGACAATGCAGTGCGCGGCCGAGACGGCCTCTTTCCCGCCCAGCGAGGCTCTCCTCTCGAGACGAGGCGAGGGACGAAGAGAGAGAAAGGCCCGGTACAACAAGGCCTGCGCTGCAGCTCGCCGTTCGCGCGACTCGCTCTACTTTGCGCGACGGTGCACAACCGACGTGCCGATCTCCTGGTACTCGTCCTTGCCGATCCAGAGCTGCGAGACGTCGAAAGAGAGAGTCAGTAACTGAGAGGGAGAAGGAGAGGCAGAGGAAGAGGGACGCACTTGGTGGAAGGTGCCGAGCGAGGCGAGGATGGACCCGCCGAGCCACGACGTGTGGACGCGCTCGGCTGCCGAGGCGGGCGCATCTGCGAAGACGCGGCAAGAAGTTGGTCAGAGGTCGTCGTGCGCAGATAAGAACGGCGAGCGAAAGACGAGCGCCAACTCACGGATCTTGACCTTGGTCCCGGGCGCAATCGCGCCGAGCTCGGCTTGGAGGCGGTCGACAAAGCCCGGGATCAACGTCGTGCCGCCAGTGACGACGACGTTGGCGAGCAGGGTGGCCTGCAGGTCCGGGTCGACCTGGACGAGGGTCGACTGGATGAGGCGGGCGAGCGGCTGCAGGGCCGAGAAGGGGTGCGAGGGAATGGTCGAAGCAGAGGGAGGAAGCTGGCGCGAGGCGAACTGCAGTCGAGGGAATTGCGTGTCAGTCACACCGAGGGGACGAAAGAAGAGAAGAAGGGAGAGGGAGAGGGCGCACGTCGGGAGGGAGGAAGCGCTGCGGGTTGAACAGGATCTCGGGCGTCGTAAGGCGCTGAGCGCCGAGATACGTGTTGAAGCCGTCGGGGAACTCGAAGGGCCGTGTCGGCTTGGACGTCGCGGCGCTGCGACAAGGGGCAAAAATCGTGTGAGCGTGCGAGCGGTCGAGCCGGCCGCAAAAAGGAGGAAGAGGGGACACACGCGTCGTCCCATTGTGGCGCGAGGACCTCGCACGTCGCCTCCTTGGTCTCGTGCATGAGGCGCATCTCCTGCAGGCGGTGGTACGACGGCGTCGTCGGCGCGTTCGGGTCGGACGGATTCGGCACGCGCTCCTCCCTGCGGACGATGGCCGAGTCAGTTCGCGCACAGGTGCAGGAGGGAGGCTCGAGAGACGTACCTGAGCGTTGCCTTGGCCGGTGCTCCAGCGTCGACCGGCTCCTTGGTCTTGACGAGGTAGTGCGGCGTGACGGGGATGTTGGCCGCGCGCAGCTGGGTGAGGAGGACCTCGGAAAGAAGGGCGCCGCCGGTCGGCTGCTTCTGGATAGCTGCAGGAGGCATTGATGTCAGTTCGGCGGCGAGATAGAGGCGCTCGATTGGCGGGCGAGCGCACCTTTGCGCAGGACGAAGCCGTCGTAGACGGGCGTGATGGTCGTGAGCTCGTCGCCGATGTCGACAATGAGGGCCGAGCCCTTGCCCGCCGCAAACCTGTGTGGGCGCAAGAGGGCGTGTCAGCTACATGAACGGCGGGCGGCGGCCCGGCGAGAAGAGAGGGAGCAAGGACGCACGCGCTCATGACGGCCTTGTCGACGGCGTAGTAGGCCGGGGCCTGCCACGTCTCGAACGCGAGCTCGACCATCTTCTCCTTGTTCTCCTTGGTGTTCCAGCTGGGCTCGGTCGACAGGAGCGGGAACTCGTCGAGCGACTTGATGCGGAGGCGGTCCTTGAACGCGTGGTCGACGGCTCGCGACGCCGCGTCCCAGTCGGACACGATGCCGTCCTGGACAAAGTTGCTGATGGTGGCGTGCGGGCGGTACAGGTGGATGCCGTTGCCGTGGACATGGACGGGAGGTTGCGCGGGGTCGGAAGAGGGGATGGTCGCGTAGGCGGTCGGGAACACACACTTGGGCGCGTCTTCACCGGCGTAGCTGTTGCCAGGGTATGTCAGGGATCGCTCGAGGTGCAGTGACCGTGCTCGAGGGCGGGAGACGGTGGAACCGGGGCGAGCTGATGAGGGCGGGGACGAGACGAGGAAGGGGGAGAGACTGACCCGGCGCGGACCGAGCCAGACTCGATGTCGAGGACGACAGCGCCAACCTCGTCACCTCCGTAGCTGACAGACGGGCTCATGGCGAGGCGAGGGCGAGCGGTGACAGCAAGAGCGTGAGAGGTCGGCTCGCTTCGTTGTTGATCGTCTCGCTCGTCCTGTCGAACCCAGACGGTCGCGCAGAGCTGCTGCTGCGCACCAATGGAACCTGCTCCTTGAACAGTGCTGCCTAGCGTCGAGCTCCTGGCCTGGCGCTGCCGTGCTGCGGCGGCCCTTCCTCCTCGACCGACGAGTTTCGGCCGCCCAGTCGAGGGAGCGGCCCCGGACGCTAGACGAGTCTCGCAAGAGCAGTGCGGGTCCTCGCAGCGCTACAGTCGTCGTCGTCGCACTCGCCTCGCTCGAGGAAAGCCGAGACTCGCTCTCCTGTCCGCCCCGCTCTTCTCCTCGTCGTCCGCCCGCTGCTCGCCGCGGCCTCGGCTCGCTCTCGTCTCGCTTGCTCTCTCTCTCTCCTCACACGAGTCCTCGCGACGGGCAGCCGCGCCCGAGGCAACCGCCGCCGCGCTGGGTGCCTGCTCGCCTCGCAGCCTCGTGCACGCGCTGTGCCCCTCGCTGTGCGCCCGCACCCGCGAGTCCGCCTCGTCCTCGACTCTCGCCGTCACCCGCCTTCCTCTCGCCGACCCTCCAGCTTCCGCCCTCCCTCGGGCACGCCAAGAACCGCCTCTCGGCGGCCCACCGCAGCCGGTCGCAAGCGCCGCCTCGAGGCTCAAGAGCCAGCCGGCACCTCCTCGTGTCGACACCAAGCCGGCTGTCGTCGACCCGGTCGTCTCGTCGGGCATGCCCGCTCACCGTGCAGCGCAGCAAGGTGCGTCCCCCTCCCCCTTGTCCCCCCGCACGCAGTCGCGCACCTACCGCATTCGCGCGCTCGTCCGCCACGTCGCATAGTCGTTGACCAGTACCGCACCCCGCAGCTGCCGACTCGGCGCACATCTACCAGGTCAAGGCGACGAGGCGCGGCACGGGCGACCAGGTCACGCTCGCGTACCGCATCGTCGGCGAGGCGGGCCACGGCTCGTTCGGCGTCGTCCTCAAGGCCGAGCTGCTGCAGGGCGGCGGCACAGACGTGGTCGCGATTAAGCGCGTCAAGCAGGACGAGCGCTCCAAGGTGCGTCTCTTTTGTGCATCTGTTCGAGCGCATCATCCCTGTCCGAGACGAGCCAACCTTTTGCTCCCTCTCCCCCTGTCGCAGAACCGCGAGCTGCAGATCATGAGCGCCGTCGCCCACCCGCACATCGTCAAGCTTCAGGCCTTCTGGTTCGAGGCGTCGTTGTCGGGAGAAGACGCCGTCGAGACGTGGCTGCACCTCGTGTTCGAGCTCATCGTGCGCCCTCTTCCCCTCCTTCTCCCAGGCCCCGTCCGGAAACGTGGCCCTGACAAGTCTTACTGCAGCCTAAGACGCTGCATCACCTGTCCCGCAGCTACTCGAGGCGCAACGAGTACGTCCCCGAGCTCCTCGTCAAACTGTGGGTGTACCAGCTCCTGCGCGCCCTGTCGTACCTTCACTCGATTGGCGGTGCGCCCATCCCTCTTTGTCGTCGCCAAACCCTACCCGAGCATCATCCTGACCCACCTTTCCCTGCGCACAGTCTGCCACCGCGACATCAAGCCGCACAACCTCATGTGCGACCCAGCTTCTGGTCGACTCGTCCTCATCGACTTTGGCTCAGCAAAAGTTCTGGGCGAGGCAAACGTGTCGTACACGTGCTCGAGGTTCTACCGCGCTCCCGAGCTCGTGCTCGGCGCCTCGCTGTACGCCGGTGCGTCCTTATCCCTTTTCCCCTCCCGATCCGAGCCATTTCCGGCGGACGGACCCTAGCCCCGGTTCGTGCGCGCAGACTCGATCGGTTCGTCGCCTTCTCTCCGTCGAGCGCCGTCCACGAAAGAGCGACGTCCCGGAAGGTGCGACTGACCCGATCCTGCGCACAGACCTCTGGTCGAGCGGCTGCGTCCTCGCCGAGCTGCTAGCGGGCAAAACGTTCTTCGTCGGCCAAGACGGTCCGTCCACCTTCCTCGCGATAAACTCGGAGCGTCGCAAACGTGCCTGACCAAGTAGCCTTGCCGCAGGCGTCGGTCAGCTCGTCGAGATCATCAAGGTGCTCGGGACGCCGACTCGGCGCGAGGTCCTCGCCATGCAGCCGACGTACGTCGAGCACGATTTTGCCATCGTCGAGCCCGTCGCTCTTTCGTCGGGGCGTCTTTGCTCACGTCCCTGGTCGAGAGTCGCGCGCCTGACCTTTCGAGTCGCCCAGCTCCTCCCGCAGGCCTCGCCTGAAGCGCTCGACCTTCTCGCCTCGATCCTGGTCTACACGCCTTCGTTCAGGCCCCGCGCGATCGAGGCCATGTGCCACCCGTTCTTCGATGAGCTGCGCCTCGGCAACACGCGCTCGTCGAGCGCGAACGGCACGAGCGGGTCAGGGCGGCAGGGCAGGCGGTGGGGGCTCGTCATGCCCGATAGTCAAGCCGTCACGGTGCCTCCGTTTGACTTTTCGACGCACGGTGCGCCCGACTCTCTCTTTTCTCGCTTGCGAGCGCGTCGACGGTCGCCAATGCCTCCTCGCCATCCATTGACGAGCTCTTTGCGCCCCTTCCTTCCTGCAGAGCTGTCGATCTGCCCCGACCTCAACCCTATCCTCGTTCCCTCGCACGCCCGCGCCGCACTCCTCGCCGGGCCCGACGGCATCGACCTCGACCGGTTCAAGCCGATCGACCTTGCGCCCTTGCGGCTCTCGCTCGACTAGCCGCCCTCTCCTTCCCTCGCATCCTTCCCGTCACCTTCAGCTCATCGCCCGCTGTACATTGCCCGCGTCGTGAGAGTGTGGGTCCCGGCGTCGCCGTGCTTGTCGCAGTCCTTCTCTCGCATTTCTCCCTCTCGTCCTTCGTCCGCCCTGTCTCGCCCTGTCTCGCCGTAGCGTACATAGCCTTCCCGTACTGCAAAAGCTTGTCCGCATGTTCGAGCATCTTGCGAGCGGCGCCCTAGCCGCGAGAGCAGCTGCCGCGAGGTCGACCTTCTCAAGTTGCCCTCTGCCGGTTCGCGGGACCAGCGGTCGCTCACTCGACGTGCACTTGGGTCGGTCATTCGCGAGACTTCAAAGAGCGCTCGTCGGTCTTGCCGACGGCCGTCTGACGGCCGAACCCGCTCGCTGCCATCGTCCAGGATGCGCGCACGTTCCCTCTCGCTCAGTCGAGCTCTCGCCCCGGTGCGCCCTGTCCTCGTCTCTCTCTCTCTCTCTTTCGGTGTTGCTCTCCTGACTCTTCCCCGAGTCTGCCGAGGTGCAGCCGGTCCGAGCCCTGACCGAGTCTGTCGGTCTGTCGCGGCGCCAGTCGCAGGTGCTCTTTCCACCAGGGGCCGTGTCAAACCCGTTGAACCCCTCGCAGCGAGGCACCGCAACCCGTTCGACAACGTCTGTATCATCGAGCAGGTCGACCCGCACGTCTTTCACAGGCGACAGGCCGTCTCGCCGAACTCGATCCGGCAGTACCGCCCTCGAAGTTGGCCACGCCGGTCGACGCACGCCATGTCAACTAAAGGCCGACTGGGCGGGCTCGTCGGCAGCGTCGTCGTCGGCGTGCGCCGCAAGTGCAGGATCGGTGACTTCGCGCCGCAGCCGAGGAGCGAGGGCCAGCGAGGCGGGCCGCCGGTGCCCGCGCCGCCCGGCTCACTCGCACGCGAGTTCTGCCGTAGAGGGCCTCGATCCTGTAGCACAGAGACTGAGAACACACTCGGAGCAAGACCGAGTCGAGCTGTGCGAGAGTCGACGAGAGCAAGTTCCGTGTCGAGCGCGAAGAGCGCGAGCGTCACGGTACGGGTGCCCGTGCAGGGAGCGAGGCGGGCGAGCATGAGCGCAAGAGCTGAGGAGTAGCTGCTGCGCACTGAGCCGAGTGGCAGGTGCCGCGGGCAAGCGTGGGAGAGCAGCCAGAGCCGGCGGCGGTGGGGGGAGGGAGGAGGAGGAGATGAGCGGCTGCTCTCCTCGCTACACCCTCGCTTGCGTCTCTGCTGCGCGTCATGGCCTCGGCAGGGCTCTACCGAGCCTATGCGGCCCTGCTCGTCGGCGCACTCGTGCCCATCGTCGCCGGCTCTCGTTCGAGTCTCGTCGTGCGTCCTCCTCCTCCCTCCTCCCGCCAGGACACCGGAACTGACCTGCGTGACACGCGCTCACTGCCCGCAGATGCCCAAAAGTGCCAAGCGCAAGCTTCGAGCGGCAACAAGGCGCGAGGGGGAGAACGAGGCCGACAGAGAGGACGACGACGACGACGAGGTGGTCGAGCGAATGACGGTGCGCCCGACCTGTTCCTCCCTGTCTGTCCTTCTCAGCGACTCGAGAAGCTGACCTTGTGACCCCCGGCCGCAGCGAGAAGACGCCTACTTCTTCCCCATCCTCGGCTCCTGCGTCCTCCTCTTCCTCTTCTTGTGCTTCAAGTACCTCGACCCGGTGTGGATCAACCGCATCCTCGGCGGCTACCTCGCCACGATGGCCGTCGGCGGGCTCTCGAGGACGTTGGCCCAGATTGCGCGTGCGACGATGGGCGAGCAGAGGTACCGCTCGCTGGCTCAGGCGCGTCCCCCTTCCTTCCCTCGCCTTGCGATAGCCAGCTAACTCGCTCCTGCGCACGCACACAGTGGCAGATGTTGTTCACGAAGAACAAGGAGGGTCCGTCGAGCCTTTCCATCCCTGCGTCTTCCCGAGGAGGTCTCGTCGGACGCGGACTGACTTTGCGCGAAACCTCGCCTGCGCAGAATACAGCAAGCTGTCGTTCCGGTCCATCTACTTCTACACGGTGCCCGTCGCCGTCGTACTGTCGCTCGCCCAGATCTTCACCGGCAACTGGGTCCTCTCGAACGTCGTCGCCCTCGCCTTCGCGTACAACGCCATCTCGCTCTTGTACCTCGACTCGTTCGTCACCGGGTCCATCCTCCTCGGCGGCCTCTTCTTCTACGACGTCTGGTGCGCCCTCATTTCTCCTCTCTCGCCTTCGCCGTCTGGACTGACCTCGTCACCCGCCGCCGCAGGTGGGTATTCGGCTCGAAAGCCGTGTTCGGACCGGGCGCGAACGTCATGGTCGACGTTGCCAAGTCGTTCGACGCGCCGATCAAGATCGTGTTTCCCAAGAGCCTGGCGCCAGCGAGGGACTTTACTCTGCTCGGGCTCGGCGACATCGTCCTTCCTGGGTGCGCCGTCACTCGCCTTTTCGCGTTCTCGCGTTGCCGGCGGCCGAGATGGACGACCCTGACGCTCTCTCCGACCCACTGCGTGCAGCGTCTTCCTCGCGCTCGCCTTGCGGTTCGACTACCACCTCGCGCTCGAGCGCGCCGCGGTCCCGTTCAAGCCGCACGCCGGGCGCTTCGCCAAGCCCTACTTCAACACCTGCTTTCTCGCCTACATCCTCGGTGCGTCGTGCAGGTCCCTCGTCCTCTCTTTCTCTGTCTTTCTCGCAACTGAGCCCTCTCGTCTCCTCGCAGGCCTCGCAACGACGATCCTCGCCATGCACACCTTCCGAGCCGCGCAGCCGGCCTTGCTCTACCTTTCGCCGGCTTGTGTCGCCAGCGTCGCAGTGTGTGCGCTCGTGCGGGGCGAGAGCGCCAAGCTGTGGGCGTACGTCGACGGCGACGAAGGTGAGGCGCAGGGCGACGAGAAGAAGCAGGAGTGAGCTTGGGACCGTCCCCTCTTGTGTCAATAGATGTGTGCTGTGCAATAGATCGAGTCGTGCGCGCATCGCCTGCGTCGCGGGTGCAGGAGCGAGACCAACTCTCGAAACCGGAGTTGCGCGATCAGAACGTGCTAAACTCTGGCTCTTCCTCCCTCGCTCCGCCTCCCTGAGCGCTGTCGGTCGCGTCAAGCTCTTATCTCAGCACTCGTGCACACCTACACCCGCCCGACGAGCTCCCTGCGCCAGTCGTTCCCCCTCGACCCCGCCATCTCCTCGTCGACCTCTCTTCGCCTCGCCTCTCTCGCCATGTCGCACCAGAAGCAGCCGTCGCAGCCACAGGCCCAGGGCAATGGGCAGTTCTCGTTCCAGACCTACTTCCAGGAGCGGCAGGCCGACTTGCCGTTTCACCAGAAGCCGGAGCCCAACACGACCGCCCTCCGCATGGAGCGCAAGCCGTCTGATCAAGGGCCTGACGGTGCGTCTCTCTCCCAGCCCCGTCCTTGTCTACTGTCGCGAGAGAGGCCGGGTGGCACGGCCCAGGAAAGGCGAGGACTGACTCGTTCCCCCTCGCCCGCAGGCATGCCCGCCCGCGAGGGCGTCGACGCCGACCTGCCTGCGTGGAAGAGGCTGCCCGCATGGTTCTACATTGTCGCGTGGATCGCCACCTCGTCGGCCGTCATTCTGCAGGTGCGTCTCTCTGCCGTGGCGAAGACGGCGGCCCTCCCGCGTTCGTCGGCGAGCGGGCGAAGGACGACGTGAGCCAGCACTGACCGCTGCACGATCGTCGCCCTCACGCAGAACAAGTACATCCTGTCCGACCTCGGCTTCAAGCACCCGGTCGCCCTCACGACGATCCACCTCTTGTTCCAGACGGTCGCGACGCGCCTGCTCCGGCGTTACACCAACATGGTCGACAAGGCCAAGGAGCTCGAGGCGACGGGCGTCATGAACCTCGAGGCGTTCTTGCGCAAGATTGTGCCAGTCGGGTTCCTCTTTTCGGCGTCGCTCGTCCTGAGCAACTGGGTCTACCTGCGTCTCTCTGTCTCGTTCAGTGCGTCGCCGACCATCTTTCGCCCCTGTCGCCTCGCGCCGCGCCTGACTCTCTGCATCCCTCTCGCAGTCCAGATGATCAAGGTGGGCCTATCGCGATCGTCCGAGCTGTCGAGGACCGGGCCTTGGCGGCGGAGCAAGAGCTCGCCCCCCTTCCGCCGCTCGTCGTAGAGTCCGATTGACCGACGTACTGACCTTGCTCGTGTCGCGCAGGCTTTCACTCCCGTCTCGGTGCTCCTCGTCTCGGCAGCGTTCGGCCTCAAAGAGCTCACGCGCAAGATCCTGTTCATCGTCTCGCTCATCTCGTTCGGCGTCGCCCTCGCGAGCTACGGCGAGCTCGACTTTGAGATCTGGGGCTTCCTGGTGCAGGTGCGTCACGTTGTCGCCCTCTCTTGGTCGTGCGCGTCCCTGACGAGCCTGGACCGCGTCCGCAGGCCCTCGCCATCTGCATCGAGTCGTGCAGGCTCGTCCTCGTGCAGAAGCTCCTCCAGGGGTTCGGCCTCGACCCGATCGCGTCGCTGTACTACATGGCGCCTGTGTGCCTCGCCATCAACGCCGTCATCCTCTTGCCCGTCGAGGGCTTCCAGGTGTTCGAGGACGCCGTCACCCTCGTCGGCATCCCCTACCTCTTTTTCAAGTGCGTGTTCGCTCTCGCCTTCCTCTCTTTCTCTCCTTCTCTCGTGGCGTCGCGAACTCTCCTGACGCCCATCTCTCACTGCAGCGCCTGCCTCACGTTTGCGCTCAACCTTGCCTCGGTATCTCTTATCGGCAAGGCGTCAGGCCTCGTCCTCACCCTCGCCGGCGTGCTCAAGGACGTGAGCCCACTTTCTCCCTGCGGCTTGTTCGACTCGAGGTTACCCACCTGACCAGGTTTTCCTGCGCCCAGATCCTCCTCATCGCGGGCTCGTGGGGCATCCTCGGGTCGACCATCACGGGCACGCAGATCCTTGGCTACGCCATTGCTCTGAGCGCGCTCGTCTGGTTCAAGCAGCAGTAGACGCTGCGTCTCTCTATACGTCTCTTCTCTACGGCGCCTCTTCTCCTGCGGTACGGCGCGGCGCGATTCCGGCGAGGGCTCGAGGCCGGCGTCGAGCGGGCTTTGTCTCGAGGGTCGCGAGCTGCATCGACGCCGACATTCTTCTTTCGTCGAGAGGACGAGCCGGCGAGCTTCTGTCGAGGACCGTGCACGAGGAGGCGAGAGCGGGCTTGCGTTGCGAGAGCACCGTCCTCTCCACGCGCTCGAGAGCATCAGCCGGTCGAGGTCCGGGAGATGGTGTCCGACGGGCCCGGCTGTTCCGTCGAGAGCTTCACGGACGCTGCGAGACCGCTCCTACGGAACGAGTCCAGGCGTCGTCTCATGAGACCTGAGCGAGCGCGTCGACCGGAAGCCATGATCCGAGGGTGCGCTCGTGCGGGGCCGACGCGCCGCCGCCTCTCCTCCCTCTCTCCACACTTGTGCTACAGCTCGTGCTGCTCGCTGCGCCACATCAAGAGCCTCGCGTCCGCCACCATGTGCGTCCGCTCTCCTTGCGCACCGCGTCGTCGCCTTTCCTCGCGCCAGCTCACCCATTGTCTCCTCGCCGCGCGTCTGCAGGATCAGCATCGACCTCGATCCGACCACGGGCTTGCCCAAAGGTGCCGGCACAGTGCCCTTCAAGCTCGAGGACCACCCGGCCGGCCACAGCGGGCGCAGGCTCAAGGTCGCAATGAGTGCGTCTCGCTTTCCCCTCCCCTCTCGTCGGCGGGAGATGCACCTCGCCCGGGTTCCGCACCTGACAGGCTTCCTCGCCCGCTCGTACAGTCGGCGCCGGCTTCTCGGGCATCATCGCCGGTATCCGCATCGACCAGAAGCTCAAGAACGTCGACCTCGACATCTTGTGCGTCCCCCACCCGAGCCCGCCGTCCCTGTCCAGCGTTATCTAAGCGCGCCCTTTCGCAGCGAGAAGAACCACGACGTCGGCGGCACCTGGCTCGAGAACAAGTGAGCCCCTCCCTCTCGTCGTCCTCGTCGCGCGAGCCCGAGGGAGACCCGAACTCACCCCACCTTGACCTCGTCGCAGCTACCCAGGGCTCTGCTGTGACGTGCGTGCGAGTGTCGGACCCCTTTCAGCATGCAGGACTGACTCTCGTCCCTCAAACAGATCCCGGCACACTGCTACAGCCTCACTTTCGAGCCGAATGTGCGTCCCGTCTCTCCCCGTTCCCCTGCGCGAGGTGTTGCTGACACGGCCTTGCCTCGTCGCACAGCACCGGTGGAGCCACTTCTACGCGTCCGGGCGCGAGATCCTCGCCTACCTCAAGCGCGTCGCCGCCAAGTACAAGCTCGAGCGCTTCCTTCGCTTCGGGCACAAGTTGACGGCCGCCAAGTGGAACGACGACACCAAGCAGTGGCACCTGTCGTTCGACCTCGTCGACGAGCACGGCAACAAGCACGGCGAGGTCGACAAGGTGGTCGACGTCGTCATCCAGGGCATGGGCGGCCTGAACAGGTGGGACTGGCCCGCCATTCCCGGCATCCACGACTACAAGGTGCGCCCGCATTTCAGTCGCGGTTTTGGACGTCTCGACACAGTCTGACTGAGCCTTGTGCGCGTCGCTCGCAGGGAAACCTGTATCACTCGGCCTCGTACCCTGTCGGCCCCGAGGCGGAAAAAGGAAAGACGGTCGCGGTCATCGGCTCTGTGCGTCCTCTTCTCTCCTCTGCCCGTCATGGAGCTCGACCCTAGCATATTCAGCATCCTCGTGCGTCGTCGACGGCGGCTGGACACGTCTCACTGACCTCTACTCGTCCCCCTCGTTCGCCGCGTGCAGGGCTCCTCTTCCATCCAGATCGTCCCGGCCTTGCAGCCCTACGCCGAGCGCGTCGACAACTTTGTCCGAGGCCAAGCCTGGATCGCGACACCTTTTGCCTCGACCGAGCTCCTCAAGCGCAGCCCGGACGGGAGCAACTACGCGTTCACCGAGGCCGAGAAGGACCGCTTCGAGCACGACGCCGAGTACTACAAGGAGTTCCGCAGCACGATGGAGCGCGAGCTCAACGGCGTGCACGGCGTCACGCTCCGCGACAGCGAGCTGCAGAACGGCGCGGTCGAGGCGTTCCGGGACCTGAGTGCGTCGAGCCCTTTCTCTCGTCCCAAGCTCCCCTTGTCGGTGCCGACCCGGTCCGCTAGCGCGCCGTACTCACTCGTCGGCCTGTCTACAGTGCAGAAGAAGCTCGCCTCGAAGCCGCACATCGCCAAGGCGTTCATCCCCAACTTTGCCGTCGGCTGCCGGCGACTCACGCCCGGCCCGGGCTACCTCGAGGCGCTCGTCGAGCCCAACGTCGACTTTATCTCGGCGGGCATCAAGCGCTTCACCGAGACGGGCATCGAGACGGTCGACGGCGACCACCGCGAGTACGACACGATCGTTTGCGCGACCGGGTGCGTCCCCTCTTCCGTCCTCGCTCGCGAGACCCTCCCGCCTCGAGCCTTTTACTGACCGTCGATCGTTTCGCACAGCTTCGACACGACCTTCACGCCGCGTATTCCCATTAGTGCGTCACGGCCTCCCTCTCCCCCTCCTTTACCTCCTCCCGGTCCCCTCGTCCGCTCGTGCCCCTCCTCCTCTCTCTTTGCGCCGCATCGAGTATCTCTCTGCCTCCTTCCCTCTGGCCTGAACTCGATGTCGCGCATCTTCTCCTCGGCGTCGCACTGCGCCTCGAGAACTGACCTGTCGTCGAGCGTGCGCAGTCGGTCGCAATGGCAACAACGTGCAGGACTTGTGGGGCGACAAGCACCCGTACCCGTCGCACTACCTCTCGATGGCGATCAGCCCCGACCACCCCAACTATGTGTGTCCCGCTCGTCGTCGTCGCGTCAAAGCTCTCACGCCGGACCGCTCACCTCGGTCGCCGTCCGCAGTTCGTCGTCGGCGGGCCCAACTCGGCCCTCGGCAGCGGGTCGCTCCTCGTCCTGTACGAGAACGAGATCAACTACATCGTCGAAGCGATCGACAAGATGCTGCGGGAGAACATCCTCGCGATGTCGGTCAAGCAGGAGGCGGTCGATGGTGCGTCTCGCTCTCGCTGTCACTCGATCGAGGTCCGGCCCTGACTCGTTGCCGGCCCCTCGCAGACTGGATGGAGTACACGCACGAGTACTTCAAGAAGACGGTCTTCTCGACCAAGTGCCGCAGCTGGTACAAGAGGGGCCTCGAGGGTGCGTCTCCTCGGTCTCTTTCCTCTAGCCTGGTCTTGCGCGACACTGACAGCCGCCCTTTGCCCCCTCTCGCGCAGAAGGACCCGTCACCGCACTTTGGCCTGGCTCGGCGGGCCATGCCCTCGCCGTCATCTCGCACCCTCGGTGGGAGGACTTTACGTTCGAGGCGTCCAACCGCAACCGGTTCGGCTGGGTCGGCGACGGCTGGAGCCGCGAGGAGGTTGAGGGCGGGAACACGGTGCGTCCAACTCTTCCCTACTCGGTCGTGCTGCGCGTCGGCGACAGCCGCCGGCGGTGTCGAGGCCCGTCAAATCGAGCGAGCCGCACTGACCTCACACTCTCGTCCCTTTCGGCTCGCGCCCGCAGGCCTACTACCTCGACCAGATCGACCAACCGCCTGTCCCCAAATGAGCGCTCGAAGGGTTGCAGCTGGCGAGGCGCACAGGCTGGCTGCGAGCGGGAGCAGGGTCGAAAGTGGCCCCGGCGACGAGGAGCAGGTCGGTGTTGCGAGATCTTGTGTAGTCGGATCATCTCAGTTGTCATTGCAGGACTGTATCGCTACACCGTCGACCAGGCTGCGCCAGCCGAGAAAGAGAGAGACGTCGAGATCTCGGCCGCGCCCGCTTGGCCCGCCCCGCCGACTCGTCGCCCGGCGGCTCACTCTATCGCCCGCTCCCTCGTCTCGCTCGACCTCACCGGGCTTCCGCCATGTCCTACACCGTCAAGGACCACTACAAGCTCTTCCTCGCCGGCAAGGATGTCAAGGGCGAGGCAGACCCGTGCGTCCCACTCTTCCTCGTCGCCGCGCCGCCCACGAGCTCGCTCACGCCTTGCACCCACGCAGGATCGCCATCGAGGACCCGTCGACGGGCAAGACCATCGCCTACAGCCACGCCGCAAGCCCCGAGCAGGTCGCCCAGGCCGTCACCGCGGCGCAGGAGGCGTTCGACTCGGGCGTGTGGAGCAGGCGAGCCCCGGCCGACAGGGCCGCAGTGGTGCGCGAGTCTCCCACGCACGACCGTGGACTGCGACTGACTCTCTTTGCGTCTCCTTGCAGATGTCCGACATCGCCCGGGCCTTCTCGGCCAAGGTCAAGGACCTCGCCGTCCTCGAGAGCATGCAGACTGGCCGGTACGCCGCTCGCCCTGCAGCTCTCTCCCCCTTTGCGACTCTCGAACTGACTCTGATCCCTCCACAGACCTTACCGCGAGATGTCGATCCAGCTTGGCCGCCTGCACGAGTGGTTCGAGTACGCCGGCGCACTCGCTCGCACCGAGGAAGGGTCGACCCAGCCTGTTCGCGGCAGCCTGCTCAACTTCGTCAAGCGCGAGCCGCTCGGCGTGTGCGCCCTCATCTCGAGCTTCAACCACCCACTCCTCATCTCGATCAAGAAGCTTGGTGCGTCCCTCCCACGCCGTTCTCGACCGGGCCTTCCTAACTCTGTCAACCCCTACAGCTTTCGCTCTCGCCGCCGGCAACTCGGGTGCGTCGCAGCCGTCTTTCTTCTACTGTAGCGTCGGGCCTGACCCATCCTGCCCGCCACAGTCATCCTCAAGCCGTCAGAGCTCGCGCCTCTTTCCGTTCTCGAGCTCGGCAAGATCGTGCAGTCGGCCGGCCGTGTGTCCTTGTCCTCTCGCCCTCGACGAGATGGATCCTGACAGCATCGGCCTACAGTACCAGATGGCGTTCTCAGCATACTTCCCGGCTTCGGCGCGACGACCGGCGCCGCGCTCGTGTCCGACCCGAGGATCAAGAAGGTCGACCTCACCGGCGGGACGGCAGCAGGACGAGCTATCGGAGAGGTCGTCGGCAGGAATCTCGCGAGCTACACGGCCGAGCTGGGCGGCAAGGCCCCTATCGTCGTCTTTGGTGCGTCGCCTGGCTCAGACTTCCTCGTCCACGACCTGACCTGCTCTCTCTTCCTCTCGCATCGCAGAGAACGTCGACCTCGATGTCGCCGTCAACGGCGTCGCCTTTGCGTCCTTCATCGCGTCCGGCCAGACCTGCGTTGCCGGTGCGCCGAATCCTTCCTCTTCTCTCGATCCTCGGGCCGCTCCCCCCTGCCTCGTCTCGACGATCTGACCCTTCCCCTCACGCCCAGGTACCCGCATCATCATCCAGAAGACGATATTCAACGCGTTCGTGTCGGCCCTGTCGACCAAATGCGCCTCGATCGCTCGCCGCATCGGCTCGCCGTTCAACAAGGACTCGATGATGGGCCCCGTCATCTCGGCGCGGCAGCTCGGCGTCGTCGAAACGCTCGTCGAGAGCGCAAAGGGCGACGGTGCGACTATCGTCTGTGGCGGCGAGAGGCTCAAGGGCGCGTCGAGCCTGGACGGCCACGAGCTGTCGAACGGGTGCGTCTCGCCTTCTTCCCCTCGTCATCTTTTGTCCTCCGTCACGGACGCTCACTCTATCTCTTTCCCCTCGTACCAGCTACTTCTACCCGCCTACCCTCATCACGGGCACCGAGACGGTCCCGGCGACCTCGTTGCGCATCTGGCGAGAGGAGGCGTTCGGCCCGGTGCTCGTTCTCGTGCCTTTCGAGACCGAAGCAGACGCCATTACGCTCGCCAACGACTCGGAATACGGCCTCGGTGCGTCCCGCATCTCGCTCGGCCTCGTCATCGTCGCCGCTCTGACCTCGTCCTCGTACCCTCTTCTACTCGTCCGCCCACAGGCTCGGCCATTTGGACTCGCGACGGCGCTCAGGCCCTCCGAGTCTCTTCTGCGCTCGATCACGGTCTGTGCTGGGTCAACACGCACCACCGCAACGACCCGTCGTCGCCTTGGGGCGGCCTGAAGAACTCTGGCGTCGGGCGCGAGAACGGGCACGAGGCATACCGCGCCTACACGCAGAGCAAGAGCGTCGTCATCAACTACGCGACCGAGGAGGAGAGCCGGGTCATGGACGAGTGCGTCCCTGTTCTCTCTCTCTCGCGCCTCCTCGCAGCAGCAGCAGACTGACTCTGTCGCCCTCGCAGCTGGTTCCGAGAGGAGGACCGCGAGGTGCGGTATGGCTAGACGGTCCTGTCTTGGTGCAAGCGGTTTCTGTTGTCGTTCTCTAGAGAGCTAGCGCTGCGAGAGACGGCAGCGAGCGAGCAAGCGAGAGCAGGAAAGCCATAAAGAAAGAGAGCGCGTTCGAGAAGAACAGCCTTCGCAATCGGGCAGCGCCAAGCAAGCTTCTCTCGGCAGACACGTAGGTCTAAAGAATGCGGAACGCGCAACATTTTTCCGACACCTGAACCGTCTACACAAGTTCCGCCGTCCAGCTAGAGCGCCTTGAGGACGACGTCGGTCACCTCGTCGGTGCTCAGCTTGCCGCCGAGGTCGGGCGTGACGTGGCCCGCACGAATCGCGCTGTCGACGGCGTCGTAGATCTTGGCCGCCGGCTCGACGTAGCCCATGAACTCGAGCATGAGGGCCGCCGACCGGATCGACGCGATCGGGTTGGCGATGGACGGGACGCGGTCGGCGATGTCGGGCGCCGAGCCATGAACGGGCTCGCCTGCGGTCACAGGAGCACGTCGTGAGGATGGACGTCTTTGGAAGTCCGGCGACAGAGAGAGGGCGAGACGGACCCATGATGAACGAGTCGCCGACGTTGACCGATGGGACGAGGCCGAGCGAGCCAACGAGAGCGGCGGCGCCGTCACTGCGAGGGGATTCAGACGAGTCAGTGCTCGTCACGGTCGAGCCGTCGACCGGCAAGCGCCGTAGACAGCCGCTTCGCGCCGCTGCGCGACTCGAGAGAGAGAGAGAGAGAGAGAGGGGGAAGGTGAGGCTCACGAGACGATGTCGCCGTAGAGGTTGGGGCAGACGAGAGTCGAGAGCTTCTCCGGCTCGCGGAAGAGGCTGCGGCCGCCGGCAAAAGATGCGAGAGGGTCAGGCTCGGGAGACAAGGACAACGACGACGAGGGGAGGCGGAGAAAAAGACGGGGCGACGCACCGGTAGACGAGCGAGTCGACGATCTGCTCGTTGACCTCGACGTTCGGGTACTCGGCTGCGACCTTGCGGACGCTCTCGCGGAACAGGCCGTCGGTGACGCTCAGGACGTTCGACTTGTGCACGATCGTGACGGTCGGGCCGCCGGTCCAGCCGTACGCGCTCGCCGCCGCACCGCGCTGCTGCTTGACCTGGGCGGCCGCGAGCGCAATCTCGAACGCCATGCGGCCGATGCGGGTCGACGCGCGCTCCGAGATCTGGCGGGTCGCGCGAGCGACGCGGCCCTGGGGCGTGTCCTCGATCGTCTCCTGCTTGACGTACTGCGAGAGAGATGCAGGGTCAGTACGGCAGGGCACAAGGAGACGGAGAAAGGGAGAGACGAGGACGCACGAGGCACTCGGTGTTCTCGCGGACGATCGTCATGTCGACCATGCGCGGGTCGTGGCCCTCGACGCTCTTGACGGGGCGCACGTTGGCGTACAGGTCCATCTCCTTGCGAAGAGCGACGATGGGCGACGAGTAGCCGGCGACCTTGTGCGACGGCGACGAGACGGCGCCGAACATGGCGGCCGTGCACTCGGACTTGAGCGTGTCGACCGTCTCCTTGGGGAGCGCCGTGCCCGTCTTCTGGAAGTGCTCGAAGCCGGCGTCGAGGGCGACAAAGGTGGGCTTGGGGATGCCCGGGACGGCCTCGAGGACGCGCTGCGCCGCCTGTCAAGGTGCGCGGGAGGAGGGTCAGGTGTCGTTGGCGAGGGGACGGCGAGGACGTGGACGCACAGGGAGGACGTTGCGGCCGATGCCGTCGCCGGCAATCATGCCAATGCGGAGCGTCTTGGCGGACTCTCGTAGCGCTTGCATGGCCATCTGTCGACGAGGGGGAGGAGGGAGGGAGGAGAGGGCGAGTTAGCTGGCGGAACACGACGGCTCGAGTCGAGGTGCATCCTGAAGAGCTCCTGCACGCCGCACTGTCTCCCACACGGCCCAGGGCGCTCCCTCGCCGTTCCTCGTCTCCCTCTCGCCGCACAAGCTTGACTCCGCCCGCAAGTCCGCGTCGACCACTCCTTCTGCGCGTTCGGGCCCCAGGGTTGATGCACGAGGTCCACGGAGAGAAATCAGGCGACTCACAGCGTTCGAGCTGTTGGCGGGAGGGGAGAAGGGCGAGTCGGCAGTCAGCGAGAGATGAAGGGTTACCGGCACACTCTCGCTCGCCGACCTGACGCGGTGCCGGCAGGAACGACGCTGAGAGTAGAGGAAGGCTGCCAGGAGCCAGACTCACATGGCTCGAGGTTGAGGAAGGCGAGGTGCGGAGCGAGACGGGCTCGACCTCGGACACTTTCGCTGAATCGTCGTCGCCCGCCTCGTCTCGCACCTCGCTCTCTCGAACGCTCGCCAGGCTCCCGAGTCTCTCACACGGAACGGGAGTTGCGGCGATAATGGTGACAACATGTTGCATCCGTGCGGCGAGGCGACGAGAAAGCCGAGAGTGGGAGAGAGGCAAGGACAACTGCCTGCGAGAACCGATAGACGCGTGCGAGGGAACCATGCAGATGTGGGACAGGCCAGACTTGGCTAGAAGAGCGTGTCCTGCAGATACGAGGAACGTCAGGTGACGAACGTGGCGGGAGGACCAGGGAGGAGAAGCGCGGACGCACCTCGTCGCGAAGGTACTCGCCGACATCTCTGAGGAACGGGCCAAGCGGACAAGTTAGCCGGCGCATGCGAGAGAGCAGAAAGAGAGAGAGAGAGCGGGACGCACGCCTGGTTGAACACGACGATGGCCGTCGGGTCGAGCTTGCGCGTGTCGACCGTGCTGCGCGCCGTCACGCCAAAGCCCTGTACGAGCCACAAGTGCAACACGGTCAGGCTCACTCTCGAGAAAATCGGCGACGAAGAGAGACGGTGAACGCACGAGCGGCATGTCGTTCATCGAGTAGATGACGACGCCCTGGTGCTCGGTGATGTCCTCGCTCGTCTTGCCGACGTGCGCCTTGACGACATGGTTGCCGTACAAGAACGGCATCTCGCCGTTGCCCTTGATCCAGACCTGCGGGTGGGAGTGGGCGGCGGATGGACGAGTAAAGGTGGAGGGAGGGCGAGGAAGGCGAGGGTCAGTGCGTGCGCGAGGTCAAGGACGTCGCCTCCTGCGCCATTCGGGCCGCCGTCCCACAAGCTTGCGCACCGGCGCGGAACGTCGGGGCGCGCCGCTGCCCTCGCGCGAGCTCGTCGGGGCATGGAAAAGGAGAGGTCGAAGCGGGCTGACCTTGTGCTTGGCGTAGCGACCCATGAGGTCGAGGGCGGTGACGTGCAGGCGGAACTTCTCGGTTTTGGAGAACTTGCCGAGGCAGACGCCGAGCGAGATGAGGTTGGCGCGCGGGACCGAGATGGCCTGGCGGAGGAGCGACTCGCGGACGTAGTAGACGCGCGAGCGGTGCAGGCGGAAGACGTGGGGCTGTCGGGTCGGCAACCGGCGGTGTCGAAGAGTCGTACGGGAGGAGAAAGGCAGGCGGGACGAGGTCGAGGTCGGGGGTTGAGGTCGGAGATGAAGGACGAGGCGGTGCGGGTCGAGGGCGGAGGAGGGGAGGACGACGAGAGTCAGCACTGTTGGTCCCGCTCGCCTCTTGGACTGTCTCCCCCCTGCTGCTTGTGCGCAACTCGGCTCTCGCCCTCAACCCGCTGTGCGAGAGCTGGATCCCGCACTCGCGGCGAGCTCGTCCGTGCTCCAGGGGACAAGTCGGCGGCGTCGCCAGCTGGCGACGCGCGGACGGGCGGGCTGGCAAGGAGAGCGGGGACTCACGTCTTCAGGGGTGTCGACCAGGTGGACGAGGTTGGGACCGAGGTAGTTGGCGAGCTTGGCGAAGAGCGTCTTGGTCTCGGACTCTGTCAAGGGCCGCACTGCGCAGAGGGGCGCGGGTCAGAGGGTGCCAGAGTACGGATGACAGCTGCGAGGTGCTCACTGGTGGACCTGGTGCTGTAGAGGGCGGGAGCGACGTGCGAGATGAGCGAGCTGCCGGCGGAGCTGCTCGTCGCGCCCAAGTCGAAACAACGCGACCGCTCCAACTCGCTCAAGTGCAGGAACGAGGTCACGCAAGCCTGTACGAAGCTGCACTGCATCCGCTGGACCGGAGAGCGCCAAACTCGGAGGACGCGGCCAGCTCCACCTCTCGTCGCTCCCTCGTCGTCGCTGCTCGTCCTCTCTGTCGCCCGCCTCGCTCCCGCCCAGCCTCTGTGCCCAGCTGCCAGCATGCACCGCAACTCGTACGACAACGACAACTCGACCTTCTCCCCCCAGGGCCGTCTCCACCAGGTTCGCTCGTCCTCCCCCTCCCCCCCCCCCAGATGACGCGGCTCGCGGTGCTCACCCTCCTCCCCCTCTGCCGCACAGGTCGAGTACGCCCTCGAGGCAGTCAAGCAGGGCTCGGCCTGCGTCGGCCTCCGCTCCGACACGCACGTCCTCCTTCTCGGCCTCAAGGAGCGCCTTCTCGTCCTCATCTCCCCTCTCGCCGCCCCGTCCACTCACCGCGTCCCTGTCGTGCAGCGCTCGACCGGCGAGTTCCCCAGCTACCAGAAGAAGCTCATCCGCATCCACGATCACCTCGGCATCGCCATTGCCGGCCTCACCTCAGACGCTCGCGTCCTCTCGTGCGTCGACTAGCTCCTCTCGCTCTCCCATGGCCTGCTCGCTGACCTGCACCCTCGTCCCATAGCAACTTCATGCGCACCCAGGCCATGTCGTCCCGCATGCTCTACAACCGCCCCCTGCCCGTCAACCGCATCGTCAACGCCATTGCCGACAGTGCGTCCCTTTCCTCTCGTCCAAGCCGTACGCAGAGCGTCGTCCTGACCCCTCGCATGCCCCGTTCGCAGAGGCACAGATCAACACGCAGCACTACGGGCGGCGACCGTACGGTGTCGGTCTCCTCGTCGCCGGTGTCGACGTGCGTCCAGCTTTCCCTCCCTCGCCACCCTCCCCTTGTTTCGAAGACCCGCGTCAGCGTCGGCCCTCGCACCTTGAGCACTCGCTCATCCCTCTCGATGCGCCCCACTCCCGCAGGACCTCGGCCCGCACCTGTACGAGTTCTCGCCGTCGGGCGTCTGCCTCGAGTACTTCGCCCAGTCGATCGGCGCGCGCTCTCAGTCGGCCAAGACGTACCTCGAGGCCAACTTTGCCTCGTTCGCGTCGGCGTCGCTCGACGAGCTCATCAAGCACGGCCTCGAGGCCCTGCGCGACACGCTCCAGCAGGACAAGGAGCTGAGCATCCACAACACGAGCATCGGCGTCGTCGGTCCGGCGGGCGAGGCGCCGTTCCAGATTCTCGAGGGCGAGGCGCTCGCGCCCCACTTGGCGCGTCTCAGCCCGAGGGACGACGCGCCGCAGCGGACGGCGCAGGCGACCGACGTGGCGGGCGACGGCGCGGCGCCGCCTCAGCCGACCGGCGACGATGCGGCGGCGCCGGCACCCGGCCCCGCACCAGGAGCGACCGACGGTTCCGCAGGGAGCGACACGATGCAGACGGACTGAGCGGGCGAGTCGGCGAGCGGCGAGATGTGGCGGCCGCACCGAGTGTAATACCAACTCACGCTGTGACTTCCTCACGTCGAGAACCAGTCCTCGAGATCGTCTGAGAGGGCGAGACTGAGGTCCAAGAGCACGATCTGGGCAGCGAGGGCGCCTTGTGCTGGACTGGAAAGGCGCGCTCGAGGCGAGGCGAGGAGAAGAGCTCGCGGAATGACAGTCTGAGCTCGAGAAAGCGCTCGGGCCTACTCGCTCATTTTCTCTCGTGCCCGACTCGCATGCGCGCCTGAGCGAGCGGACGAACGCGAGGAAGCTAGGTGCGGCGCGCGAGGCGAGATCGTCGACCAAGAGTCGCGCTCGACGCTCTTTCTGCTCTCGGGCCGGAGCTATAGAAGGAGAGGAGAGAACGAGAGCCGGGCAATGCACGCCTGTACATGTACAACAGGACCTCCTGAACACCTTGCGCCCCCTGCTGCTGCACCGCCGACGCACAGAGCCGCCCCGTCTAGTTGCACCACAGCCTGCCGACGCCGTCCGCCCCGACCGAGACGCACCACGGCTCGCGAGGGTGCCACTTGACGTCGAGGACGCCGAGGCTGTCGGTGACGCTGTGTCCCCGCAGCACCTTGAGCGGCACGAGGAGCGGGTTCGTCAAGAGGTCGGCGTACACGGTCGCGTGGAACACGTGCACGCTGCCGTCGTCGGACGCGCTCGCGAACAGGGGCAGCGTAGGGTGGAACGCGACGCTGCGCAGGGCACGCGCATGGTACCGCAGCGTCTTGTACGGCGTCACGCTCAGGTCGAGGTCGTGCCACACGAGGCGGCGGTCGTACGAGCCGACGAGGACGTGGTCGCCGAGCGGGTGCACGTCGAGGCTCGAGATCCACTTGAGGCCCGGGTTGAGCGTCTTGACGAGCTGCTGCTTCATGAGGTCGTAGATGCGCACGTGGCGCTGCGTCGCGACATAGAAGTGCGGCTTGAGCGGGTGGAACTGGACCCGCTGCACGTCGCCCTTGAGCTTGGCGAACGGCGCCTGCGTGTGGTGCTTCGACAGCTGGTGGATGAGGACACTGCGCGCGCCGGCTGTACGACAGGAGGGGGTCAGTCGCAGGACTGGGAGCCACGGCGTGCGCGCGAGAGGGAAAGAGGACGAGGACGCACCGGGAGCAGCGACCGTCGCAAAGTAGTCGCCGCGCTTGTGCCACGTGACCTGCTTGAGCTCGTGACCGGGCACCTCGAGCTCGACGAGACGGCCCTCCTCGCGCTCGCTCACGCCTCGAGGCTTGAACCACGCGACGCCCTCGGGCTGCGCGACGGGCCGGATCTTGTTGCCCTCGTCGTCGGTCGCCGCAGCGTTGAAGCCGGCGAGTGCAAAGGCCGAGGTGCGGGCGGCGACAGCGTCGGACAGGAGGGGGAGAGGCGCGATGAGGTGGACCTTGTTGGCGCTGCGAGGAGGACAACTCGCGAGGTCAGTGCGGCTCGAAAGGCGGGACGAGGCAGAGAGAGAGAGAGAGAGAGGACGCACGTGGCGACAGCGAACAGGCTCTTCTCGCGGTCAGGGCACCACTCGACGCTGTAGACGGCCTCGCCGGCGCCGCCGACCTTCCACCGCATGGCGCACGGCCGACCGCTGTCTCCACAGTCGCACCTCGCGTCCTCGGCGCCCGTCACGACCCACATGCCCGTCGGGTCGAGGCTGACGCACCGCACGCGAACGCCGTTCTGGGTGCTCGTACGTGACGGAGCGCGTCGTCGGGAACGGCCGCAGCTCTTGCGGCGACGGGAGGCGCGGCAAGAGCTCGCTCGGGTCCTTGATGTCGAGCTTGGGGCGGCGCCGAAGCGCACGAGGGGCGAGGTACAGGTCGAGGCAGCGGTCGAAGCGCTCCTGGACAAAGTTGCCGTAGGCGGGGACGTGCCGCAGCGACGCAAACTTGCGCGGCACGACCTTGCCCTTCTTGTCCTCGGGCTCGAGCTCGTTGAACTCGCGCTCCTCCTCCTCGGTCCACAGGTACTCGGCAGGAGGGTTGAACGACTCGGCGTGCGACGGGAGGGCCATCTTGGGCGCGGGCATGTGCATCGCGTGCGGCGCGGCGGGAACGTCGTCGGCGGTCCACAGGCCGTAGAACCGCGGCTTCTCGGGCGCTCGCGGTGCGCCGGGCCGCCTCGGCGTGATGCGGCCGGCGCGAATGGCGCGCACGATCTTCATGACCTTCTTGTGCTCCCACTTGGACGGCAGGAAGCGCGACTTGGGCTCGGGTCGCGCCGACAGGGGCATGTCCATGACCTGCGACGAGAAGTACGGGATCGTCGGCGCGTACCTGTGGAGGAACGGACGGGTGAGGAGCCGCTTCGGGTACAGGGTGCGAGAGGGGAGGGAGGACTGGTCGAGGACGTACGGGTCGTAGTCGGCGTCCGGGTTCTCGCCCTTGGCGAGGCGCTGAATGAGCTCGAGCTCCTCCTGCGTGAGCTGGACGTCCTTCTTGTGCAACTTGTCGGTGACGGTCGTCCACATGCCGTCGGCGTCCTCGACACCCTCGAGGAAGCGGTCGAGCTCGTCGCCGGTGGCCGGGCGCATGACCTTCTTGCCGTCGATGTCGTAGCCGATGTGCGGCAGGTCGTCGTACCAGTACGACGGGATGTTGCCGACGCGGTTGTCGACCTGCGGGGCGCGACGAGAGAGCCAGGGTGAGCGTGCGCCGCGAGGCTGAAAGACAAATCGGAGGCGGGACGCACATCCTCGGTCGAGCTATCGCTGGCGTAGTCGGGCTCGATGTCGTCGTCCCACTGCGTCTTGGCCTTGCCCGTGAGCTTGCTCTTGACGGTGCGGCTGCGGCGCATGTAGTCGAGCGGGAGGTCGTTGTGGCCGTCGCGCTCGCCGATGGCGGCGTTCTGGCCCGGGATCGAGCTCGCCTCGGCGACGCCCTCGTCAGGCTTGAACGTGTTGCGCCGGATGAGCTCGTCGAGGTCGGACGTGTCGTCGTCGTCGTCGGCGGCGTCGTCGTCGGACAAGATCTCGTTCTGCTCGTCCTCGAGCTCTGCGCGGAGCTGGGCCTCGTCGTCGTCGTCGTCCTCCTCGTCGTCGCTGCCGACTGAGCCGTCGAACGAGTCGTCGTCGTCGTTGTCGCTCGCGGCGAGGTCGAGTTCAGGGAAGGCCTCGAGTGCGGCCTCGTCGTCGCTCGAGGCGGCGAGGACGTCGCCGTCGTCGTGGTCGCCCTCGTCGTCAAAGGCGAGGGTGCCGAGCGAGTCGCGTGCTGCAGTTGCGGGTGCGGATGCGGCGGTGGAGGGAGACGACTGGCGGCGCTTGC